TTATTAAATGAGCTCTCAGTAGACCTTTATTTATTTATAAGTTAGTATTGAACCCACAATTTAGGATATAAACATAAGAGATTATCAATGTTTTAGCACACAATAGTGACAAAGAAGTTTTAAAAAATGAAGTAAGCAAATATGTTTCAATTAATAAAAAAATAAGCAAAGACCTTTTCATTTCTTCTTCCTTCTCGTATGTTGGTATGATAATACATACTATCGCGCTCTAAATCCCACGAACATCGTGCACTATTAGTTACTTGTTCAATTTTAGAAGAATGAGAAAACACATTAGCATCCACATCATCAATCTTCTGCTTATTCATTTAATTTATCTTTAAAATGTTCTAGCAAAACCAACCAAAAATAGAACTATTAGTTGTCACTAATTTATTAAAACAATATTTTTCAGCAAACTAAATTGCATATAAACACTGTGTATATTTGTAGAGAGCTACATACCCCTTAAAAAAACAATGGTGTATTTTTTTACCTAATAACAACATAGACGAATTGTAAAAACTGCATACTTCAACAAACCTCAACTCATTGTATCTTGTAAAGTCTTCATTCATGAACACGGTTGATGCATCAATCCAAATAATTGTTGTCAAGAAAACGATCAGGCCAAAATCAAGTTTTAGTTAGGGATTCAATTAGGCAAAAATTCACGCTAAGGAAACAAACAAATGTCATTGCAAACGTGTAGAAATTGAAAGAACGTCGACATAGACAACTTAGAGACTACCACCACCATTTTCTTTCTTCTTCGCACCTTTATAAAACCTCACATGTGTTCCCTTCTACTTATAACCCCCTGCTATGTTTTACTTACTGACCAGATCATAATCATATAGCTAGTAGCATGTCACTCATGAACATAATAAACAACTCTAACAACTCTACTTTCCATTTTATCATCCACAAAATTGGGATGCAATAGGCAAGTAAAATGATCAATTATTCAACCAAAGGAGAGATACTCTAAGTCCAAGCAATAAACCATTCCAATTGTCTATTACATGTTTACATAAATGTATTCAACATAGAGAACCATAAACAACTACCTGAAAAACAAAGAGAAATACATTCATTGATTTGAGCAGGAAAATTTACGATCCAGCCATTGTAAATATGGAAGAAATTAAGAAACAAATGGAAAGAATAGTTTAATATGGCTAGTCAACCACAAACAACCACATATCTCTAGGAAAAAGAGACCAGTTGTTAGCTAGAGATCAAGGGTGAAGAGGGAGCAATGAGCAATCATCGACTTCATTCAATTCGTCTTCTCAATGATAGGATGAACTTTTTTAGTCAATAGTCAAATATATGTTACAGTTGCTCAATTGTTTCCCATCTAATCATTGTCTTATGTAACTCCACCCTCGTATTCTCTTACAAAGAGTAAAAACTCAATATGCCTTACTATTTCCTTTCCTATATCTGTTTGAAAAAAGTAGAGAAAAGAAATGCTAGAAATCTCATTTTGAGCAAATAAGAAGAGACGTTTGTTTGTTTTTGTGGGGCTTGATCCAATTTTTTTCATTTTCTTATTTTCAATATTGCGCTTTATTTTTATAGAGAGAATTTGTATGAGAAAAAGGATATGAACAAACCAAAATGTTGCATTCCGTGTTATTAACTTAATTTATGTTTTATTTATAATGATGATAATTTAAAGAGTAAACAAAAAAGTATATAAACAAGAATTAGAACTTGTCCACTGTGGAAGGGTTAGAGCTAGCCATTCGTTGATGTGACACTAATTTATTTTTAAATCCCTATAATATTAAGTAATGATGGTTTATAAGATTTTAAATTTTTTATAAACTTTAAGAATTCATACAAATATTGTGACATTTCACATACATTTGAATACTCAAATTTATTATAGACAAATTTATTGCGATACTTTGATATTGAAAAGTTTTTATTATTGCCAAAAGTTGGCATGGAGTCATAGACTCGCACCATATAACCAAATGACTTATTACAATTGCCTTATTAAGCTCATTCTTATTAGAGATTCTTCATTTTAACCCAATACCTTGATTTAGATTCTTGTAAATATAAAAGTTTTTTGTTTAGATATCTCAACTAACACACTGATATTTATTTATTGTCTCAATCCTCAAATTTTTATTTTTCTAAAAGACATTCAACTATTAATAAAAATTGTACAATCCTTATGTGATCAATGCCTAGGTTAGTGATTGATGAAATGTGATATTTATCGTATATTCTCAACAAAGATTCCTTTAACATTCACACGTGTCATTTTTTAAGGTATATTGTGTGTCGTCTTACGCTATGAAGTCAAAGTTCGTCAACTCTTATACTTAAGTCATTTTGAAAACTTTGATGTATAATTCTAGACAATAACTCTAAATTTGTAAAGAAAATTTATTAGTATACTATTTATGACCTCAATTGAGCTTGCTCAACCAAAACCATCTAAATCAAATATTTTAATGTGAACTTAAAACAAATTATAAAATATTGCAAATGTGATTATTTTTCATTTGAGAAATTTCAGGTAAAACATGAATATATGTTTTCACTTCATCAGGATGAATAGAAATGTTTTTTAAGAAATTATTATTATTGCTCGATCAAGTAATATTTTGACAATTATTTTATTATATAAAATAATTATTTATATAATAATTATTTTAATTGGTAGACATATATATTATAATTGGTAGACATATATTTTGACAATTATTTTATTATATGAAATAATTATTTTAATTGGTAGACATATATATTATAATAATTATTTATAATATAATAATTATATTATAAATTCATATATTTCATTTCTCAAATTTGATTGATTGTCAAATGCTTAATTTATTTCTTTGTGTCATTATAATTTATTTAATAGACAAAGATATTATTATTTATGTGTGTACTTATATAAATTGTTCATCAAAATGTAACTTATTATTAAGGTTTGGTTAAAATGAGTAGATAATTTACTTGATAAGATTTAATCATATATTTTTTGTTTAAACAAACTCAATATATGTCATTCTTTGTTTTCATCTTTATATTTTGTTTAATTGAAAAAATTATTATTATTTATGCTTGTTTTTATTTACATTTCAATGTAACTTATTATTAATGTTGAGTAAAAGTGAGCATAAATACTATAAGAAGAGAGAGATAGCTTAATAAATAGATCAATAATAATAAAAAATTTAGTTAAAAAATGCCAACCTAGGGAACCTGTTATTTCTCCAAGTACTTATATGACAAGATATTACTTTTGAATTGCCATAATATATAGTATGGTAGACTGTAGACATATATATTATAAAGAAGAGAAGGTTTAGTATATAAATTCATATATTTCATTTCTCAAATTTGATTGATTGTCGAATGCTTAATTTATTTCTTTGTGTTATTATAATTTATTTAATAGATAAAGATATTGTTATTTATGTGTGTACTTATATAAATTGTTCATCAAAATGTAACTTATTATTAAGTTTTAGTTAAAATGAGTAGATAATTTACTTGATAAGATTTAATCATATATTTTTTGTTTAAACAAACCCAATATATGAAATTCTTTTTCTTCATCTTTATATTTTGTTTAATTGACAAAAATATTATTATTTATGCTTGTTTTTATTTACATTTCAATGTAACTTATTATTAATGTTGAGTAAACGTGAGCATAAATACTAAGAGAAGAGAGAGATAGCTTAATAAATAAATCAATAATAAAAAAAAATTAGTAAAAAAAAATGTCAACCTAGGCAACTTGTTATTTCTCCAAGTGCTTATATGGCAAGATATTACTTTTGAATTGTCATAATAGATAGATAGATAGATAGATAGAGATAGATTACTATTAAAGTTATGGTAGTTGATATAGGAAGGAAAATATACATATCCATCCAATCTTAAGTTTCAATCTACAACTAGCATCACATACTATACAGAGAGGACTTTGATTTTTTTTTTTGTCATTTCTGAAATAATATCTGCTTCTAACCATTTGATTCTAATAAGTTTGGAAGTACTAATAGAGAATTTGAAATTGAAATGGCTCCAAGTCAGATTAGAACAATAAAATAGCTGAAAATTTCATGTTCTGATGAAAAGGTGAAAATTAATCCGACTTCAAAATAATAAATCTTTTTATGAAGGTACAAAATTATAGTTGTTGAATCTAGGCCAACCTGTATACAATATACACGTTATAATGTCATTACCCGCTTTCTGTAATAATCGGTGAACACTTTACCAAACTATCAAAAATACCCACAAATCACATTTTCCTCTCCATTTCTACCCATTAAACACTTGTGGAGGAGAATTTTTGTAACATATAATAATAAATTTACAAATAAGACAAAAATAAAAAGTATATTTATTTCCTCGCTTAAGGTATTCTCTAGAGTATAACCAAAAATATCAAATTTCGGTGATGACCATTGAAATTCGTAACATAAAAATATACCTTATGTAACAAAATTAATCTCTATCACAGAAAATATTTATCATAAAAGTCGGTTTATCGCTAATATGATCATTAAATAAGACATTTAAGAGACTAACATGATCAACAAATTTTATGGGAAAACTAACTTTTCAAATATGTTTTCTAATCTTTTTAATATGGGGTTTCCCCGGAGAAATAACAAGAAAGAACATAAAAATCTGAAATTCCACATCTCAATTGGCTATACAAATCTGAAATTCCAATCCAAGGAATTCAATTTACCATCCAACGAACAAGAAGAAATCGGGGGAACTGAAAAACAATGGCGAATCAATGGATACGATTACGCATGCACAGGACCCGGAGCCACTAACACCATCCCACTCGGCGGATTCAACGAAGATCCGGCGGAGCTCCCGTGATAGCCGGAGCATTAGGAGGCAGCGGCTGCAGAGGCGGCGGCGGAGACGCAGTCTCTTGCGCTGGCGGTGGGGGAGAGGAAGACGATTCCGAAGGAGCATTAGGCGGCGGCGGAGAAATGGGCAGCGGCTGCAGAGGCGGCGGCGGAGACGCAGTGTCCTGCGCTGGCGGTGGGGGAGAGGAAGACGATTCCGAAGGAGGAGGGTTTGAGGTTGCTTCCGGCGGAGGAGGAGGTCGTCGGGGGCTCGAGGCGAGGCGGCGCGCAGAGACGCAATCGCAGTCTCGCAGAGAGTGTGTGAGGGTTGAGGGAGAACGAAGGCCAGCTAGGGTTGGGGGGGAATGAGTGTGTTTAAGAGTAGGCAAAACAGCGTCGTTTCATCTCGGTCGGTTAGCGTCAGTTAGCCGGTTAACCGACTTCAATTTATCGGCTAACCGCTTGCCCACTGACCCTTTCCGCCAACCGACCACCCCTCTATTTTTTCAGTTTTCGGTTAGCCGCTAACCGGCGGTTAACGCTTAGACCGGCCGGTTAACGGCTAATCGACAACCGAAATGACAACCCTACCTGAAGATCATGAGTATTACAACAATTAAGCTCTAAAATAAATAAAAAGCACTATAACTTATGGATAGAGGTGGCAATTTCAATCCAATCCATCAATTCATTAAAAATATCTAACTAATCCAATCCATTTGATCCAAATCCAATTGAATTGGTGGATTCATGGATTGGATTCATGGATCATTGGCAGATTACAGTTTAGTACCTATAATTTTTATTTTTTACATTTTGATACCTAAAATTTAATTTTTTATACGAAAAATATCATTGGAAAATTACATTTTGGTACCATAAAATTTTCATTATGACATTTAGTACCTAAACTTTTCACATTTTATATATTGGTCTTTGGTTGAGGATGTTATTTGGATTCATGGATAATCCACTTGACCCAATCCATGAATCCACCAATCCATTAGATCCAACCCATTTGATTCATGAATCCATCAATCCAATCCATTTGCCACCTCTACTTATGGACAACCCAATCAATAACTAAAAGATAATCACGCAAGGCGAGTCCACAAAAAATATCATACAAAACAACCTTCTGGATCTGATGAATGACCATTGTGGAGTCACCTTCAGTCACCACCTTGTCAATTTGATGATCTGATGCTAAGAAAATGGGTTCAGGCTAACTACATGTGCTAATTTTTTTAATGCCTATGTTTGATCCGGTTTTTAAAAATGCTTTTTGAGTTCAAAAGTTGAAGCATGGCCAAACACATCTAAAAGTTCGGCTTTTGAAAATCCGAAAAGCGTTTTTGTATAACATAAAAGCAGAAGCTCCCATTGAAACTTCTGCGAAAAGCTATTTTGAAAATACAAGATTATCCTTATCATATTTTAATTTTATTTCAGAAATATAATTTTATTTCATTTATATAATTTTAAAAATAAAATAAATTATAAAATAATATTATTTAATATAAAAGTCTAATAAGATCAATTTTTAGTATATTTTATTATTTAGAATTATTATTCATAATTTATATTGTAAGTCCTTTATAGTCATTTTACATAACCTCTCATATTAAAAAGCACTTCTAATAATTTTTCAGCCAAACACTCAACTACTTTTTTTGAAAAATACTTTTCTAAAAGGCTAAGCTCAAGCTAGAATCTGCTTCTGCAAAAGATACAACAAGGCCAAAGTGAGCCAATTAAGGGATTTTTCTAGAAATAGCACTTTTAAAAAAAAATACAAAAATAGCACTCAGCCGAAAATATTTACAAAAATAACACCCCTTTTTTATGGACCGCACCTTAGAGGTGCGTTTTATATATAAACCGCACCTCTAAGGTGCGGATCCTTAATCCTGGGCCAAAACCGCATCTTGGCCAAGCAGTTTCAGGTCTGACCTATACAAACTGCTTGGCCGAGGTGCGATTATGGCCCAGCCTACCAAGGTGCGGTCCATAATTTAAAGAGATACATACATATTATCATAAAACAAACATCCTAAATTAATTAACATAATAACATTCTAAATGAATAATAATTTAAAATGGTACATACATATTATCGTAAAACAAACATACTAAATTAATTAACATAAATAACATTGTAAATGAATAATAATTTAAAGAGAAACATACATATTCAAATATTTGAAATTAATAAAATTCATTTTGTACACATAAAAATAAATCGTATTGGTTGTTTGGTAAATAATTTAATTGTATTGGTTGTTTTAAATAATTTAATCGAATACAGAGCAACACTCGTTAGACTCTTAGAAGAGGTATACATCTTCTTAGAAACGCAGTCTTTTTGACAGAAAAGGGGGATCCGAGGATCTCTTAATACCCGATTTTCCCAGGGAATGGGAGGATATGATAATCGCTTAAAACCCCATTTCCTTAGACGTGCATCTCTTTATAAAGAGTCAAAGTAAGTGGCGCTATGTATTCGATTAAATTATTGAAAACAACCAACACGATTAAAAATTCAACATAAATTTATTTTATATTCCACTAAATACATTAGCAAAATAAAAGAAAGACAAATGGTGAAGAATTGTATGTACCGAGTGATCATTCCAAACATCCCTTGACCGATGGTTGGGTTGGTCGTACAAGTCGGTTGGACCCAACGGTCCTTGCTCGAGATAATACCGTTGGTTGTATATATCCACGTCGTCCCCAACTTACGAGAAAATAACAACGAGGTTAGTACATAGATTAATTAAAAATCTTATAACAACAACAAAAATTAAACCAGAATAATGAGTACGTACCACTAGAAATTCATCAACATAAACTCCCTCTCCTTGCCACCAATCGCTCATTTTTCCGGGAAATTCGGACAGAGATTCGGCTAGGCTCGGCGGGTTTTGAGGAAAAAACCTAAGAAATGTTTTCTGATGGCAGATCGGACTTAGCCGCAACCAATAGACCACTATTTCCTAGACTTTTGGGAGAGGAGGGTTTAGAGAGATAAATTCTAGAGAGAGAAGGAAGAATGAGTTGTGCTGTGAAGAAATGAGAGGGGAAGGGGGGTATTTATATCCATCAGACCGCACCCTCCAGGGGAGGTCTGGTAATTTTGCTCCAGTCAAAACCGCAGCTTCCCGGCGCGGTTTACGCTCCCCGAGGGTTGATCGCTCCCTACCGCTGCGGTCTGCGATCCATGGCGCGGATCGCTGAGGTGGCAAGCGGTCCACCGCTGGATCGCAGTTGGATCCTGCGGTCTCCAAAGCCGCTCCCGAGGAAACACAGACAGCACCTTGAAGGTGCGGTTCCCATTCTGACGTGGCGCAAAATGCACATCCAAGGTGCGGTTTATACATAAAACGCATTTGGAGGGTGCGGTCCAAAAAAAAGGTGCTATTAGTGTAAATTTTTTTCGGTTGGGTGCTAGTTTTGTATTTTTTTTAAAAGGTGCTATTATTGAAAAAATCCCGCCAATTAAGGTCCAAGTAGGGGTGTTCAAATGGTTACCGTGGTAATAACCAAACCAATTAAGCCTAAATTTCACTAACCATGGAATAAAATGTCTTGACCAAACCGTCCAAATTAACACGAAAACTAAATTAACCAAACCGAAGTTTAATTGGTTTGGTTAATCGGATAATCGGATTAACCAAATAACATAACTTTACATGAAAATAATTATCATGTTAATGAATAAAACATAACCATATGTTATTTTTTTTATCATAAACTATCATTATATATAATAATAATAATAATAATAATAATAATAATAATAATAACCATCCATGATTATCATCATCATTCGAGTTAATACATCATTCATCATCTCTGCACCTAATATAGTTAGCTTACAACAAACCTTTAACATAAATATTAAATACATACCAATACCACTCATCAGGAAGTTAAGCTCTCATACAAAACACTTAAGCTATACATAGTTTGAGGTGGGTGTCATGGTATTGTACGTAATCCTAAAGTCTAGTAATTGTCCAAAATATTTTGGTTTAGTAAATAGGAAGGCCCATTTAATTTTTGACCCATAATGCCTTGGTTTGTTGTGCACATGGAAATATAATAGGGAATCACGAAAGTTTGGTTTGGTTGGTTGCATGGAAGTATAAATAATTTTGTATATTAGGTGTTTCATTAATTGATTAATTGGTTAGTAGTGTTGAAACCAAACCAAACCACCTAAACCAAATAAGCTAAATTGTTTAATAAAATCAGACCAATTATCCAATTAACCGAATGCTACCGGTTAATATAATTACCACGGTAAACAATCAGTTTAGTTAAGGGTGGGAAGTTGGGAACTCATTACATGCCCTATTCTTAGCTGTAGCAGTTGTCGGGTAATCTTTGGCCCACAGGTAAGAATGGGCCACGTTGTTGGCAGCCGTAAAGATAAAATTTCCAGCCCACCACTTGATTCTCCGGGCCCGGCCCGACCCACAGCTTCCATATTCGAACACCGGACCGGAGACGAGGTTTTTACAGTCGGTTGCAATCTCCAGCGCCACCATTCTTGGTTCAATCGCAGGCAGCTTCAATTCCAAAAAGCAAAAAGCATGGCTCTAGCCGGGTTCCCTCTTCAATCGAAACATACCCGTCCAGTCCCGACGATTGGAGCATGCATCACTTCACTCTCTGCTTGCAAGTTCAAGGTAATGAATCACCATGGCTCTTTGAGCAACCTCTCCTTGTTGTTGTTATGATGATTGTTTCTTTCTCCCAGTCACAGAGCAGAGCGCATTTGCTGCCAAGATTGCCAAGTCCTTGTATTCCAATTGAGAGTGCCTCGATTGCACAGCACAACGGACACTCATCTCATCAGAAGCAGCCTGGATCGCTTCGCTTTTGGTAACATCCCTTTCCCCTCTTTTAGTTTAGCCCAGAACTTAGAATTAGGTTCCGGGTGGTCATACCTGCTCTGTGGTTGAGGGCTGAAATCTCTTAACCATATAGATGCCATTGGAGGTCTCATTTCCAGGGCTGGGAAGGATTGGGGTTTGGGGGATTAGTTGCTCGTCCATCGCACCCAACACTTACTGGATGAGATCAGCACGCCAGGACTGATTATCCATGATCATAGATGCCCAATTCATGGTCCGGCGATCGTTGTATGGGATCTCATTTTTTACTGCCATAGCCGATTAGACTTTCCCGTTGCCCACCTTCCATCTTGAACCTCAGGCTTTTTGCACCCATTAAGCTCTTCCAAACATAGCTGGTGTTAGGGGCAACTCTAGTCTGCAGAATTGTACTAGCGCCAAACTACTTTGGCCTGAATAGCCTGAATCTCCACCCTTTTTCTGCTGATCAATATTCCGGCTAAATGAAACCTCCGAGGTTAACTTTTGGCCGGCAGAATTCTCTTAGGGGTCGTTTATCCAGAGCTTTGGTGATAAGAGCTGAGAGACCTTCGGCACATAGACGAAATAGATATGGTAAGAGTGCATCACCTTGGTGAAGCCCTCTCGAAAAGCGGTACCAATGCCCATTAACAAGTGACTGAAAACTTGGACTTACCACTTCGCCAACTTGAGAAATACAGTTTCTTTTTTTCCTTGAATGACAACACCACCAACAAATAATTTCAGTGACCATGGTATGACCTAAATAAAGAATTTGTTCAGTATCCTATTTTTATAATAGAGTCGGTCAAGGTAAAATAGTCTAATTGAATGATTACTTCTAAATAGATTATAATTTTGCGTATTTAATTTCGATCTTTTGGTTTTCCGTTATTTCCTCTGCAGAATGCAATTTTTTTATTTTATAAAATAGAATAGAGAATGCGACACTATTAATTGTTTATCTCCTAAAGTTTTGGGCCACTCGTCTAAAACACAAGCAGCCAGACTACCCAAACTACCCTTCATTCTTTACCACATATGATCGCATAAAAAGGGGCTAACGAGGATGAAATTGTACATATCAGTATTTCCTTGTATTTTGGATTGCTTCTTAAATGTTCACCCTTAACATCACCATCTCAAATTTAAAAAAAAAAAAATTATCCAGAAAAAGAAAATAATTTATTCCCAACCATTTTCCATACAAATCTGTTCATTTTGCTGATATTAATATGAGGCCCTTGTGAATTAGACTCTCAATGTTGCAGGTAAATCATCTTCTCTTTTTATAATGTTTTTTTTTTCTTTGTAGTTTCTATTATTTTCCCTTCCAATTAAGAACCCAAGATTTAGTCTTTATAATATTATAAACTCAGCTTTTCCTCAATTCTGCATCTGGGATTCTCAATATAATAACCCCCCACAGTACAAAAATAAGACAAAAAGCATCAATAATTAATACATTATAATGACATGCATTCTGTTATAGTTTTTCCCCCCTCCCATGTTCATCTTTCATGGGTAGTTAATCTCTGAAAAATATTATTGTGCGTAATTTATATGTTTTGTCCGCCATTAGAGAAGGGGAAGGAAAGTAAAAATCTTGGAAGCCGAAGAATGAACCATTTATAAGAAGGACCTTAGGTGGTGGTGGGTTGTCCTCTTTTCCTTTCGTTGGGAATTAATATCTACAGTTGCTGATTGATAACGGTTTCTCTCGACAAAACCCCCCACTTTCTTTTGTGCCTCTCCGCCATTCATTTTTTTTATTAATTTCCATTGCATGCAAATTGAAAACAAGGCCGGCGGCCACCCGAGTTTTGTCTCCGGCCGCCGGAGAGTTTCATGAGTTGTCTCTTTTCCCTCTCCGTCGTTGTTCACTTTGGTGCATGTGTACACCATAGCGGCTGATGCAATTTTCTTTTGGCTTGCAGTGGTGGGTTGTACTTGTGACAGGGAAAGCAGAGCTAATGTGAGATTCATGAGAAGGTGGCTATGGCATCAAGCTCTTGTGCCAAGCAGATTCCAGTCGTCAGCACCTATATTCGGTATCCAGCTGCTATGGCTGAATATGAGGAGGTTAAGAACAATCCGAAGTTGTTCATGGCTACTTTGGAGAAGTTCCATTCGACTATGGGGACCAAGTTCATGTGAGTATTAATTCTCATTGTATAACGTGAATGAATATGTTGCTCATCTCTGACCGCCATTGAGGTTACTGTAGGATTCCTATAATAGGAGGAAGAGAATTGGACTTGCATCGGCTTTTTGTGGAGGTGACACAACGTGGTGGCCTTCAGAAGGTAACTATACATGGCTTTTGATTGTTTGAATTCATAGTTGCTGTCCCAAAATTTGAACTCTGTATCCAATTGATTATGGATATAGCTAAAAGGGATGTCATGCAGGCCACAGATTAAGTGTTTTCTTACAGTAATGTTCTTTGGTGAACAATATGCTAACAGATCCTTGGAGAAAAAAGATGGAAAGATGTGACTGCCACTTTCAATTTCCCATCCACTGCCACGAATGCATCTTATGTGCTGCGCAAGTACTACATGTCCTTGCTTCAACACTACGAACAACTCTACTTCTTTAAAGCCCATGGCTGGAATGCTGCAGCTGCAGCAGCAGCAGGTGTGTGTGGATTCAAAATGCTAACTGCTCATTTCCTCTTCATGCATGTTCATTCAACTACTGTATGTGTCAATGCTGATAGTTTTCTTATTTTGTGCAGCAGCTCCTCCACAAAACTCACTGGGAGGGCATTTTGCAGTTCAGTTTCCTGTTCACCCATTACCAGGATACCGACCACCTGCTGCAGCAGCAATACAACAACAACAGCAAATAAATGTTGCACATCAAGCACCAGGAGGTCTCCCTTGATTCTTTTGAAACGCTATTCGTCGCCCTAAATTTTCCTCTTCGTCATTTTCGTAGTTGCTGCTATATATTCTACCTGACACTCGAACTCTCCTATTGACTGCAGCCAAGGCAGCGTCAGCAGCAGCAGTAGGTACTCCAGCAGTGGCAGTCGGTGTAATTGATGGAAAGTTTGACAGCGGTTATCTTGTTACTGTCGTAGTAGGCGGTGAGAAGTTGCAAGGTGTTCTATATCAGGCAACAACTGATCAAGGCCAACAACAGCATTGCCAAATGTTGCAGCAGCAGCAGCAGCAGAATCAACAAAACTATTACAGTTTGTTGGCCAACGCCAACAACAGCAATGTGGCCGTGGATGGTGTAGTTGTACATCGCCGCAGGCGCAGAAGAAAGAAGAATGAGATAAAAAGGAGGGATCCTGATCATCCGAAACCCAACAGAAGTGGTTACAACTTCTTCTTTGCCGAACAGCATGCTAGACTAAAGCCACTCCTTCCAGGGAAGGACAGAGAGATTAGCAGGATGATTGGTGAGCTCTGGAACAAGCTCAAGGATGGGGAAAGATCTGTAAGGATGCCAATATACATGTGTTTGGATGTGGATTCTTTTCATTGTTACCACTCTTTCTTAACCATTTTTTTCTCCTTTGTCTGGGTAAGAAAGGTCTATCAAGAGATAGCTATGAAAGATAAAGAAAGATACAGATCAGAAATGGAGGGTTACAGGGAGAGGTTGAGAATAAGAGGAGAGCAAAGTTTGGTGCTTGGCCAGACAGTAGTGCCATTATTAGCGCAACAGTGGCAGCAGCAGCCTCATGATATGGTGGAAGCTAATGATCTCAGACCTGCAGGAAATGGTGAAGGTGGCAGGGAATCCCCCCACCACGAACTAGATAATGAGAGCTGCAGCAGCAGTTCTGGGCGTGAGGTTGGATCTGATGATGAAGAAGAAGATGACGATGACGATGACAACAAAGATGATATGGCTGGGGATTTCGATATGAGGGAAGCAACTTCTTGTCCAGTCCAAGGATTAGATCCTATTCTTAGCAAGTTGGGTATGGAGGGTGCTTCTTCAGCTCTTGAGCCCTTCAACTCCAATAGAGTAGTGGTAATAGGAGAAGAGAAGACGACCACGGAGGCTGGCAGCCAGAGCGTTAATCGGAAGGCTGGTGAGGACACAACAAAGGATGGAAACAACAACATGCAGAATTCGTCAACCGAAGCAAACCAAGATGGTGTTCCTTGAAGTGTACCTCAGCTTGAATGGGCTCCTCTTAACCTGCAAACCATGATGATTTTACAAACTCTTTGAGCAGAGTCGGATAAGACATATAGAGTGCTTCGTCTTTCTTTCCTTTCCCCCCTTTTTTTTTGTTTGTGTTGTTTCTCATTTGTTCAACCACTTAGAACCTTGCTGCATTCTATTTTAGTGGACAATTTTGCAATAGGGATCTTATTTAGTAGGAGATGATAGTTAGAAAAGAGGGCGAAAGTTATAATCTGACTTTTGCCAGTTTTGTAGGAAAGACGGGTCTTTCTTATTTATGTTGTTTCTCATTTGTTCACCCTCAATTTTAGCAAGATATTGATAGTATTATGGGCTAATACCACTACAACACCCGAACTATCCCGAAAATGCTACTTGTGTCCTATTGTTTCCAATATTCCATCTGTGTCTTAAACTATAATACTTTGTGTCATTTGTATCCTGTCAATTTCGTTGACCGTTAAAGATAACGGTTGACCAAACGGTGGTCAACGCGAAGTTGACTTTTGCTGACGTGGCAAAAAATGTGCCAGCCACATAGATGCCACGTCATTGACACTTCATATTTTATTAAATAAAAAATAATATTAAAAAACTCCAAAAATGTAAACTCAACATTAATGAAAATTTTGACTTTGCACTTTCCCTTTCTTCTTCTTCCTCTGTCAAAAAAGGATCATCCCTTTCTTCATCGGGCAAGAACAACAGCGGCCAGCAAAGAAAGTCTCACAAAAAAAAAAAAAAAAATAAACAAATCTAGCGAGAGTGGTAGGAGGATCGAGTCTCCCTCCACCAAGCGACGAACCTGCAAACATATTCTTCTTTCTTCTTCGCCATCTAATCACTCTTGGTCAAAAGACTCCATCATCATATCTTAAAATTAAAAAAATGGGGAAGGACAGCAAACCCAGATTCTGGCAACTGTCACCTTCCCACATACCTCCATTGAGCAGTGTTGAAGACCAAGAAGAAGCAACCAAGGCCAGATTCCGGGCGAATTCAGCTGTAAAGAGAGAAAAGGGTAAGGAAAAGGATGAAAGATATGACGAGGGCAGATGGTTTCAGTAAGGAGGCGGAGGGTATTTCTCTGTACAGAGCCCACAGTGGCTGGGATTTGGATGAAATCCACCGTGTTTTTGGGTACGGGAAGCAGAACAGAGGGTTAGGAGGTGGTGGCGACCAGGATCGACGGTGGCTGGGATTTCAAATCGATTGTCCAATTTAGTTCAAATCGGTCTAGATAAGAAGAAACCGACGGGGATTGATTCAAGCAAAATAGCAAAGAAAAGCTTGGATCTGAAACCTCCGACTTACCGCAGCCGCCTTGGTCCTTGACTTCGGCAACGACACCTTTCGTCCTCCAATCGATTGAATCAGGGAGTGACTCGCCGACGCGCGGCGCGTACCGATCGGAAGGCCTGGACTCGCGCAGCGGCTTCCCCTGATCTAGACGGACTCTGAGGTACTTGGAGTGGTACTCGTCGTTGGTGAGATCGGCGAACTTGTTGAGTATGACGGTGTAGGTGTGGTTCATGGAGTTGTGGCTGTCGATAAACGGAGGTTGTCCTTGAAGATCTAGAACCGCTTCTCCTTCTCTCCTCTAAGGCATTGTTGTAGGCCTTAGCGTGCTTGTCCTTGTTTTTATTTTATTTTATTTTAGATGGAAAAATAAATAAAAATTGATAATGAAAATTCCACGTCAGATGCCATGTCAATGCTGACTAGATTTTCTGTTAAATACTAACGGTCAACGCCGGTCAACACTAACGGAATAATAGTTCAGGACACAGATGGAGTATTGGAAACAATAGGACACAAGTGGCATTTTCGGGATAGTTCGGGTGTTTTAGTGGTATTAGCCCTAGTATTATATATAAAGGGTAATAGTTAAAATCATTATTTCTTAAAAAATATGGATGGTACTAGACTTATTCTTTTTTTAGCAAGTACTGTTTACCAGTTTTTTTTTTATGCTCAACACATAATTTTACCAGAAGTTATGTTTTCCTACAGTCCGTTGCTTATGTAATTTTTCATTTTTCATCGGTTACTCCCTATTTCACCATAATATTTTTTACCTTTAGACATCTATCTCACTACTTTTTTATTCTTCACCGAAATTTTATACTATACACACAGTTTTACCATAATATGTTTTCCTCAATCAAGTGTTTATGTAATTTTTGTTTTCCATTCCACCACCCAAATTTTTTTTTTTTTTATGGTTAATCAAAATTACATTAAGCTCAAGAGGTTGCAACTGCAAACCTCCTTCTCAAAAGACCAGCCTGGAAAATTCCTTGCAGTGAACTACCTATATACAAACTGTAAACCCTATCTATGCTTCATTTACATCACTTCAGCGAGATTTAGCAACAAGTAACCATTTCACTTCTTCCTCAATCCGACCAGCTAGCTTGCTTGGGGAGCTAATGACACTATCATGAGCTTGCCTACACCGTTCTCTCCATATATAACTCACACATAACGACCATCTCAACCTTCCTTCACATTTTACTACTGTATCATTCGTCCATTTTCTGACTGCCCATTGCAAGTGATCCTGCCATGTACTGAATTCTGGAAACCTGCAAAATCTTGACAAAACAGTTCTTAAAACACTCCTACTATACGAACAAGTTGAGAAAAGGTGATCCCTTGACTCACTACCACCTGGACATAATCCACAAGATGTATCATCAGTTAGTCCCCATCTCTGCAGTTTATCTTTCGTGGTAATTCTATTAAGAATAACAATCCATAGCAGTAAACTGTGCTTCGGACTGTGTGGTTTCCCCCAAACAGCTTTGTGCCAGTCAACTTCAACCTGAGGATCTCGAATAGCCTTCCATACTAGTTTAACAGAGTATTTTGGCAAGATTTTGCCATCCCAAGCAAGCTCCTCTTCATTTCCAGTTATATGACTCCTTGCCCCTTCCCTGCTCTTCAGAATCTTCCTCCAAATCCATGTCCCAGCAGTGTGCTCTGCAATTTCCCATATAGACCTCGCCTTTAATCGATATTTCTTCACCCAAGCTACCCAAAGGGAACCAGATACAGCCATTATATTCCAAATATGTCGAATAACACATGCTTGGTTCCATTTCTTGAAATCCCTTATCCCCAAACCCCCTTCATTCTTTGGCAGCGCTACATACTGCCAGGCTATCAATGCCTTCTTCCTCAAGCTTCTGCTACCCACTCCCCATAAAAACTGATTACAGATTCTCTCTACCTCCTTCAAAATTTTCTGGGGCAACAGAAATAATGCCATCCAATACTGCATAATACTTGTGATGACTGATGAAATTAGTTGCAACCTACCAGCATAACTAAGTTTTTTTGCTTGCCAAGTATTGATCCTCTTGGTTATCTTTTCAACTAACACTGAATAGTCAGCAGAGGATAGCTTACCTGAGATGAGAGGTACACCTAGGTAACGAACAGGAAGGCTCCCCAATGGAAAACCAGTAACAGAGGAAATCCAGTGCTTCTCATCCTCAGGAATACCACAGCAGAATAACTGACATTTAGCTTCATTGCTTGCAAGGTCTCGTTGCACCTTCCTCCAAACCAAGGATGGCCTTGGCTCGCTCTCGAGCCTTGTGCTCCCATGATGTTGCTCACTCCTCCGTGGTCTTCTCCGTCGCGTCTTTGAGTGTCCCGCCTTCTCGATCATGGTGGCCTTTCCTTGCTTCTCTTGGCAAGTCGAAGATGATATATCCTCGTCTCTCATGGCTCCACGATGTTGTGCACTCCTCCTTCTCGTCCTTCTCCAACGAGTCTTCGAGTGAGTCTCTGCCTCCACCATCGTTGCCACTTCTCGCTGCTCTTGCCTTGCCAAACACCTCTTGTTTGACTCGAGTTGCTCTCTTGTCATGGGAACCGATCTTGCTCCGCCATTGATGCAGAATCTATTGGCATAGGGAATCGGGAAAGCTTTCTCCCGCACCATGAATTCCATGCCGATGATGACCTGATAATCATCCAACGACACAACCTCAAAGTCTGCCACCCCGGTCCATCCTCCAAGCTTGAGTGGCACCTGGCGCGCTACTCCATGAGTTCTTGTGGCCCTTGAGTTGGTAGCTTTCATCCACCCTCTTTGCTTCTTCTCGTACGTGATGCCTAGCCTCTGCGCTTCACCTACGTCAAGAAGGTTGCAACTTGCCCCAGTATCAACCAAAGCTTTTGTTTTCCTTTGGTTGAGCTTCGCCTCTACGAAGCATTGGCCGTGCTGCTCGGGTTGGAGAGGCTCTTCCGCCCGCTTGATGGCGCTCAATCTCTTCATGCAACCGATCTTCGCGACATGGGGCTCCACTCTTGGAGCCTCCTCTGCTTCCTCTTCCGAGCTCGAGCACTCTGCCAGTACGGCCTTCATTGCCGACAACTTGTGCTTTCTTGGGCAATCTCTCACACGGTGTGGACCATCACAAAGAAAGCAAGTAAGTGGTTTCTCAACCTTATGACTACCTCCTTGGTCCGGTCTACCACGCCTTCGTGTGTCTCTATCATAGTCGCGTCCACCTCCATTGCCTCCGAACTCCGCACGTTCCTCCGGCTCGTGGTACTCGACTAGGGACTCGGCAATCGCCATTGCCTCGGCAAGACTTTGCACGCCTCGCCGTTGTAGCTCCAACTTCGCCCATGGTTGGAGGCCGTCAAGGAAGGTGAACATGGCCTCCTTGTCGGTGTAGTCGGGGATCTCGAGCAACAATTCAGAAAACTCTTTCACATACCCTCGAATCTCTCCTTCGTGAGCAAGCCTCCTTAGTCTCGACCGGGCTTCAAACTCAACATTCTCTGGGTAGAATTGCCTCTTGATCTCCCTCTTGAAGTCATCCCATGACTCCATCACGCACGCCCCTTTATTGATATCGCCTTGGGTCCTTCTCCACCACAGCATGGCAACATCACTCAAGTAAAGAGGTGCAGTTTTTACCTTGGTATTCTCATCTCGAATACCCGAAGCTTCGAAGTATTGCTCCAAGCTCCATAGGAAGTTCTCTAACTCCCTTGCATTCCTCGACCCTTGAAAGCTCTTTGGTCTAGGAACCTCCTTGGTTGAGGTAGGTTGTGCAATGGCAGGTCCGTTAGCCATGGCTCTCTTCACGAGAGTGACCTCACTCTTGAGGTCTGCAATCTCCTCCTTCACGCCGACCAGCTCAGCCTGGACATGCTCTTTGACAACTTCAATGGCGTTGTTCAAGGATGTGTTGATGGTGTTGTTGATGAGGGCCACAAGCTCTTCTCGTATGCCATCATGACCAATCTCCAAGCTCGACAAACGAGCATTCATACCTTGACAATCGCTTTCGACTTGGGCGAAGTTAGCTCCCAAATCCTCGATGGCGGTGATATCTTCCGCCAACTTCACCTCCACTCTAGAGACACGCCTCTCTAGAGACGTCATAGGATCACGAGTGCTTGACTTGTCACCCTTTGCCTTCGGATTCTTCACGGTATCCCGTCCACGGTGCTTCTCCGCATCGTCATGGACTTCTGATCCAGTCATCTTTGGTGAGGCTCTTGCTCTTTCTTATCTTCCTTCTTGAGGAGTGAGGACACCGGTTCTTCTTTCAGAACCAGGCTCTGATACCAACTGTCACGGCCTTACTCTTGGTCGTGCGGCCCTAGCTCTCAATTCCATTAGAGATACTAGGCAGCCTTCTCACAAGCTCTCAAACTCACTCAACTCACAAGAACAAGACACAAGAAGATGGGAGAAACTCTATAGTTGTATTGCTCACAAAAATGATGGATGAGTTACAAGTGAGGGAGATGGCTCCTTATATAGGCCTCTCCTCATACAAGGCATCAATGCCCCTCATAATGTCCCTCTACTACATCAATACACCCATTAAGTCCCCCCATTATGCACTCTATAAATGTCACCCATTATGTGACTCATAAGTGCACCATTAAGCTCTCATTTAGGTGGGGAATCCTAGGAGCATCTCTATGCTACTAGTCTTCCATACACGCCACATGTGCAGCCGCCATGTTGTCACCTTGTTGGCGCCATGTCATCTGCCACATGTGACATCCTCCCCCACCTATGCTCGCGACGCCCTAGTCGCGTCCTTGCTACGAATTGCCTCCTTCGACCTCGAGCAGCCTCTTTCGACTCTTGAGCCTCGTTGGTGACAGTTAGACTTGGGCAAAAGACATTTCTCTCTTTCGTGTTGCACCATCATTGCAAACACCTTGTTGGTCGGAGGTAAGGGGTCAAGAAGCATCATAGTTTACCTAGTTACATCGAAACTATCACTCAAAATTTTCAAGAACATGATGAATTTATCATTCATGTGGTATTTTCGAAGGGATACAAGAACACTGTGGCATATAGTTCCACAATCACAATAAGGAATAAACCAATAGTCGGCTAATTGATCTCAAAGTGCCCGTTGCCTGGAGTAATACTTAATTAGAAACACTCTAAGCACCTTGCTTGAGGTTGAAGATGGATTCTTTAAAATATGTAATTCACAAGGAATCTTAGTGAGAGAACTCTGTCGTAACTCATTCCAGACACCAACTACAATGGTGACACAAATGATGTTTTCTGCAATGGTGAGATTGAAAGAGAGCAAAATCCAATTTAGACGAAGTTTGTTGTTTTGGTTCCACGACTCAAGAAGAGAGGAATAGTCAACGGGTTTGGTTAGCCAAACCAAAACCCAAAAATCCGAACATGAAATCAGTAAAAACCGAACCCTTAAGAATTTGAGCCAACTGATAAGGGGCTTGCTATTTGCCGCCAACCAAAAAAAAAAAAGTATATATATACATATTAGGGTAAGGAGTTTCACAATCTACAAATATCCAACTTTCAGAGAACATATTGAATCAGAAAAATTTAACGCTCGCCGGAAAAGTCGCCGGAAAATCATCGGGAAAGCCTATCCTCGACATATACTGCGTACACGCATCAATGAATCATCACTAAGCAGGTGCGTAATTTTTTTGTAGTTTCGAACAATTTTTCCGACGATTTGAAACGAACAGACGGTGGGCCGAAAATTTCCGGCGGCCGGAACCTGGCCGGGCCGAAAATTTCCGGTGGCCGGAACCTGGCCGGGCCGAAAAATTCCGGCGGCCGGAACCAGGCTGAGCCGCAAGATATTTTCGGCCCGGCCAGGTTCCAGCCACCGGAAATTTTCGGCCTGGCCAGGTTCCGGCCGCCGGAAATTTTCGGCCCAGCCAGGTTCCGGCCACCGGAAATTTTCGGCCCACAATCTGTTTTTGCAATTTTTCGGAAAAATTCGATTTTAGGAGTTGAATTTAGAGTTTAGGAGTTGAATTTAGCGTGTAAGAATTGAATTTAGAGTTTAGGAGTTGAATTTAGCGGTTAAGAATTGAAATTAGCGTTTAGGTTCACAGGAATATTGATATATTATATTGTAATTGTAGGAAAAATGTCAGAGTTGTTACCGGCCGATCATGATTACACACAGGAATTTGAGAATGGGATCCATTATGCAAGTGTGGAGTTAGCTGAGTTAGCTGCAAGAACAATCGCTCAGCAGTGTGGGTTCTTTATTGTTAGAGGAGCATGGAAACCGAATACTGCTGGACAGAATCCTGTTACTGCCCTCTGTATGTATTTCGACAGAAGTAGTAGGATCGTTAAGTCTTATAAACCAGACCCTACAAAGGAGACGCGTGGGAATATTAGTTCGAAGGGTACTGGTTGCCAGTTTCAGATATGTATAAAGGAAGTATGGCAAAAGGATGGTCCAAACACATGGGTCATGGTGGGAGTGACAAGTCGTGAAACCGGAGCTAATAGAGGGTTTCACAGCCATGAAAAGGTGTTGTATCCAGAACATCACCGACACAACAAACAGTTTAGTGAGGCTGAAAAAGAGAGGTTAAGATTAATGAGGAAGGCGGGGGTGAGACCAAATCAGCAGAAGACGACACTCAATACTGAAGGGGGTGTGCATCATGATATCAAACAGACGTACAACATAAATTCCAAGACAAGATTGGATGAGATGGGTGAAATGGATGCGATACAGTTTGCGCTTCACGGAGCTGAACATCGTGGGTACCATATCTGTTTGCAAAAGGACTCTAATAATGTGCTCACTAATATGTTTTTTGCGCACCCGACGTCCATTCAGATGTTGCATGCATGGCCGTACGTCATCCTCATTGACTCGACCTACAAGACCAACAGGTACGGCTGGCCATGGGTTGAGATTATTGGGGTTACTCCAGTGAAGAAGAATTTCAACATTGCATGTGCAATTATTAAGCAGGAAACAAAGGAAACATATGAGTGGCTGCTACGATGTATTAAAGGGTTGCTCGGTGATACGGTTCCGAATGTCATTGTGACAGACAAAGAAGGTGGTTTGCTTGCTTCTATTCCTGTGATCTTCCCTCTCCCACATACTGTCCACCTACTATGTTTATGGCACGTCAACAACTGTGTGAAGCAAAAGTTTGAAGTGTTACTTGGTGGAATTGCAAAAAGAGAGGTAGCACATGAGGTATGGAAGAAATATTTCGACAAAGCTGCATGGAGTTGGACTCAGGAGGGTTTTCTTCAAAAGATTAATGAGTTTGAGAGGGTCTGGACAGTGAAGAACAAAAAAATGGTCGACTACGTGCGAGGTGAGTGGTTGCCTCATCAGACAATGTGGCAAATGTGCTACACGAACCATGTGTTTCATCTTGGTAACACGAGCTCGAATAGAGTTGAGTCATCTCACTCTTCATTCAAGACTTTCCTTGTGTCTGGTAGAGGAGCGATCGACACTTGTTTTGCGAAGAACCACAACTACATGGAACATCAGTTTCTGGAAGTGGTGAATGAACTGCACAAGTCACTGAACCGCAATCTGAGTAGGGCAATTGAGGCTCCGTGCACGTTTTTGAGGAGGGTCGTTAGTTCTGAGGCAATCAAACTGATGTTAGATGGGGTAGCGGAGTTGAAGGACAGTTGTGCGTGTCATTTTCAGATGACACATGGGCTCAAGTGTGCTTGCCAGATTGTTCAAGCTAAGGAAGAAGGACGTCAATTCTATGCTCAAGAGTTGCATGTATTTTGGCGGACTTTGGATTATAAAACCCCCCCACGTCAACAACAAGTCAGTGATGAAATTGAGTTTCAACGAGAACACTTTAGGCGTCTTACTGTTGAGGTGGAAGAAAGAGGTCCTGAAGCAGTGAGACAAGCAAGAGATGCCCTATTCTATGGGCTTCATCCAGCAGAGGACAATGTGAGGGAACCAGAAGTGAATGAGAATCCGAGAGGACGGCCTCGAACAAGCACCAGTCGCATTCGTTCATATTATGAGCGGTCTCGTTCGAGGAGTACTGGGCCTGGTTCGAGTGGAGGTAGGGGGCGATCGAGTGGAGGCAGATCCCGATCGAGTGGAGGCAGATCTCGATCGAGTGGAGGCAGATCCCGATCGTGTGGAGTCAGATCCCGATCGAGTGGAGGTGAATCCGACGAGCATGATACAGGTGAGTAATTGGTTTAATATCTAGTAGTAATTGGTTTATGTTTGTAAATTTTTTCCATGTAATTTTGACCGTTTGGTATATTTTTGTAGATTACTCATCCCAGAGCCCCCCAGGGCAATATTCTTACCCTTACATCGATGAGCTTTTTCCAGAGTTTGTTCGACCTTTGCTGGTAGGCGATTTCAACCCTAGTCCAGACGGCCATTGTGGTTTTAGGGCACTTTCTCATTGTATTTATGGGGATGATAGTCACTATCTGCTCATGAGATCGACGATTGTCCAAGAAATCGAACAACATTTTTGGAAGTACGAGAACTTGTATAATGGTGGTCCACTAGCTCACATTGACCGCATCAATTGGCTCGAGGCGGGTCACGCACCACCGGGGCGATGGATGGATTCTGAGGACTTGTTCGTGTTTGCCACCATCTACAACATCGCAGTCATGGTCTTCACATATCAGGTGTTTGATGTCAATAATGGAAACCGTCCACTACCCAACCGCTACGATGATGCCTATACTGTATTGCCTATTGATGCGGAACCAGGTACTTTGCCACCAACCATGTTCTTATCACTGCACTATGTGAACAACCACTACATTCGATTGTACTTCAACCAGGATCAGTTTCCTATACCCCCTCTGCATCCACTTTGGCATGGGATCGCAAATCCTAATGTGGCGGAGTGGGGAGCTATTCTCGAGGTTGGACAAAGAGGTCGGCGACCGGCCGAAATAAATTTTCGGCCGCAGCGTCGCCGGGCCGAAAGAATTTTTCGGCCGGCCGTCGCACCGGCCGAAATTTTTTTTCGACTCGGCGGCGTTTAGGCCGCAGTTTTTTTTCGGCCCGCCCTGTTTTTCGCCGGAAAACTTGCCGGGAAACTGGAAAACTGGCCGGAAAAAATAAACTTACTTGTTTTCCGACGATTGAGGGCGACGGGAGGTTAGCCGACGACGGAAGAACGGTGCCGGCGACGGAGGCACTGGGCTCGTCAACAGAAGTTTTTGTTGGAATGAGTCAAATGTTCATGGGTATCCGAATTTATAGAATGAAAGGAAGGGAAGGGAGGGAAAATTCAAAATTTGAATTCAAATTTTTTTTTTTTTTTGGTTGGCGGCAAATAGCAATTTGGTTGGCGGCAAATAGCCGTTCACACTGATAATCCTCAAGGGATTTCAGTCAAAACCCGAAAATCAGACAATGCATCTCATTGGTTCGGTTTCGGTTAAAACCGAAAAACCGAACCCATGTTTTTCTTCTTTGTTGGTCCTATCTATGCAAGAAACAAACTTACGACACCCGCACTTCATTCCTAGGTAGTATTTAGTTAAATCGGCACGAGCACACGAGTTCCATAAAATATTATATGGAAACGTGCATGAGCACTACTTTGCCACTCTTGCCGGCCGGCCGGTAGGTATTTTGGAGGATACATGTGAGTATGTGACGAATATATGTAAAATCCCAGCTGACAGCGCTGTTCTTGAGCTGTTGGATCCGACGACTTATTCCCTGGGATACGGTTCAAACTTCCAACCTAACCCTTCTCTTCTCCCTATATAAACCCCGTTACGCACTCCACCATCACCATGTATATATCGATCATCTTCTTCCTTCCGACCTTCCAATGGCTACTCTGCATGTTCTGCTTGCTTGCATCTTGGCCCTGCTCGTTTGTTCCGCAGCAGCAGCAGCAGAGAGCTATAGTAATAAAGTGCCAGCAGTGTTTGTGTTCGGAGACTCGTTGGTCGATACAGGGAACAACAACTACGTCGCCACCATCGCCAAAGGAAACTTCCTACCGTACGGCCGAGACTTCCCCGGTGGGAAAGCCACCGGCAGGTTCAGCAACGCCAAAGGAGTCGCCGACTACATTGGTACGTGTAACCAACTTCTCCCCTGTTATCATAGTTCTAAAAAGTACTAGCTTAAGCTTGTCTAGGCGCAAGTGAGAAAGAAAACTGTTTTTTTTTTAATTGGCAAAAAGCATTGTGGCTTTGGTGTCCCTAATCATCATTGGGTTGTGTCTCAAAATGATGTCATGATGTCTTTTTTTTACCTATTGATAGCTACTAGGGAGGACGATCTTGATTTCTCTATAGTTAATCAGGCTAGAATATAGTTAGAGACGACATCTTAAGAGTATCTTCTTCTTTCTTTTTTGCGCTTCTTCGCTTTTAATCTGCTTCACTATTTTCCAGCTTGTGCTTTCTTACTCACTTCTTCACACTATGTTCTATTCTTTTATTGTGTGTTATGAAAGTTTAGAAATGAGAGGTAGATGTGATGATATTGATTCATAAAGTTGTGATTCTAGACAAGTGTGAGATATTTTACTACGTTTACCTCTAATGCTTAGGCACGTTTAGGCGGTGCATGAGTGTGCTAGACATGAACTAGACAGAGCCTCAACGCCAGTGGCGGACCCAGGATTATTGAAGAGGGGTGTCGCCAATAAAAAATTATAATAAATAAAATAATTAAATAAAAATTTAATAGAAATTACTGGAAATTCATTTATAAGTTGACAACGTCATGTTTACTACGAATTATGACGATTTTTCATATCCTGAATTTTTTTTAAAATATATTCTTCGCTTATGTTGCAAATCAAACATTTTTCGATATACACAACTAATTGATCATTCATAAATTAGTCACTCAACCAAAGAGAATCGACCCACGTCTAGATCAAAGTTAAAATAAATTAGTTTACAATCAAATATAGTAAACCACGATCTACCAATTGGCAATTTTAGACAAAACAAAGTATGCCTAAAGCAATATCATTAGCATTTTTTCTCTAGTTCTACTAAATTAACCAAAATCAAACCATAATCTCCCATAAATCTAAGCAATTCACCTATTAACTACAAATTGACAAGTTAAATGGGTTTGTGGGTTACTTAAAACAAGCATGCTTATTTGATTTTACTTATTATTGTTAATTACTAATTATGATGAATAACTTATAAGATTAAAACTATTGTCGTATAATAAATGTGTGTCGCTTATAATTATTAGAGCGGTGTCGGAATTCTCAAATTAAAATTTTTTGTACCGAAAAAATGTAGGTCCTTCACAAAATTTTCTGGTGGAGGGGTGTCGGACGACACCCCTCACCAAGCCCTAGGTCCGCCCCTGCTCAACGCTCGCCTTACACCTAACGCTTTCTTGAACCATATGTCCGATTAAATTGATGAGAATAGCTTCACTCACTCCCACGAGGCAAAAATGTATATTTTCAGCTGAAGTGTTTGGAGTGAAACAACTTTTGCCACCATATTTGGATCCAAGCTTGGACCTCCCAGAACTGCTTACTGGCGTGTGTTTTGCTTCTGCTGGTTCTGGTTACGACCCTCGAACACCACAGAAAATGGTGAGTCGTTTTGGTCGATGAATTCTCCTTCTCTGTTCAATGCATCAAATTAATTAATTTACAACAGGTTTTTTAGCTGACTTAAAGTTGTTTTATTGGGGGCTTTCTTGACGTGAAGAACGCAATACCAATGACAACTCAACTAAACATGTTCAAAGAGTACATAAAGAAGATCAATGCAAGCGTTGGCCCAGATAGAACACAAGAAATCATTTCCCAGAGCGCATACGTCATCTTCATGGGCAGCAATGACCTCACCAACACGTACCCAACCGTCGACTACCGGTACACCGAGGAATCCTACACCGATCTCATGATCACCCTGGCTCTAGACTTCCACAAGGTACGACCAGAACCAGAACCAGACCAAAACACAGAGTTCGTCGCAAAAAGCCTATCTTTAGCATCGAATTACATCTCGTTGCCATAAATTTTGTCGCAAAAGGTCTGTTTTTTTTTTTAGCGCAAATTGATTGACTGGTAAGTGGTAACCTACGTGCGTACTTACAGAAACTATATGAAGTTGGAGCAAGAAGAATTGGGTTGCTGGAGTTACCTCCGACGGGGTGTGCACCGGCGATACGATCCTCGCAGGGCGGATTGAGGAGGGAGTGCTCGGAGAGCCTCAACAGGCGGATTAGGCTGTTCAACTCCAAGTTGTCTCTCATGGTTGATCAGATGAATCAAGAGCTTCCAGGAACCAAAGCTGTGAAGTTCGAGTTTTACGATCGTGTTGTTTCCCTCGCCGACAATCCGGCTCCATACGGGATTGAAGAAGTGACAAGAGGGTGTTGTGGCACCGGGAACATAGAGACAGGGGTGCTCTGTGTACTCCCAGGGACCTGCGCTGTTGCGGACAAGTACCTCTTCTTTGACAGCTTCCACCCGACTCAAGTTGCTGCACGAATCCTGACCAAACAAGCCCTTTCTCCTTCCTATTTAAGCAAACTCTTCTGATCAAATATAGTCACCTATTAGTTTACTTGCAATTTTTTTTCTTCCTACTGATTAAAGTTCGTCTGTAATTTACAAAAATATGTTGTTGTTTGGAAGGTGACAATGCTGCTTTCGATTTTTTGTTACTGTAATGTCATTATTGAGGGTGATCACGAAGTGTGCCCGTGTATTATATGATTGCATGAGTTATAAAATACATCATGATTTTTATACCAAGATGAAACCGGATGCAGAGAACATAATCTGAGTAACCATGTAATTTGAAAACGGAATACATACGGTAAAAAAAGGAGGGGAAATTTATTTGCATTCGTCCAAAAGAGTCTGAATTGAGCGTAAAGAAAATTACTTTGGTATGACCAATGCAGTAACTAATTTGCTGGAAAAGATTGACCTGTCCAAGCAAGGAACATCGCATGTTAGACAAAATTTTACCAATTTGATAGTTTTGTCGGATGAGCTACATTCATTTCTTCCAATTCAATTTTCTGAATATGAGGAATCTAAGACCTATGTTATTGTGAAGAAGTATCAAGCGAACTCTCTGGTCGTTTGATTTTTGTTAGGATTGAATCCTAACTTTTAGCAGGCTAGAATCCATATGCTTATTCTTGAACCTTCACCATACTTAGATTTTGTTTATCGAACTTTCACCAGGCTAGAACCCAGATACTTATTCTTGAATCCTTACCAGATTTAAATATTGTTTATCGATCTATTATGCAGCTGAAAAAGATAAACGAATGGATCAAGTCTAACAGGTGGAAGAACAACAAATGTTATAGCCCCTGACATCATCTATTATCCATTCATACTATACAAACAATAACGATAATCACATAGGCATCGAAAACTAGGTATTCATGCACACACAATGAGCATTGAAATTCATAAAGATAAACACAAGCATGATGTAAAATCATAGCATTCATTAACATAAAGATAAACGAGTTCACATCCTCATACAATCAATTTCGAACTAGCTACATAGTAGAGAAGGAGGGTACCATCATTGATTATGACAATATCTCATTAGCTACAGACTCTCTTACGAAAGCTACGCTCTTACTCAAGTAGAGTATAGAAGTGTTGTTTTTATGCATGCTTGATGAATTAATGAGTCTTGCCCTCTATTTATAGGGGAAGAAATCGGTCAAGAATCTCCTAAACCAACTAGGAAAAGTTTCCTGGTCCTTGTAGACTACGTAACTTCTTGAACAAGACTTCTAGAAACTAGGGGTTGAGCGGCGGTTGGAACCATCGTCATTTTTCTTCGTGAGTTGGGCTCCTAGGCCCATGGATGACCTTTTATGTTAATTTATACGCATGTTGACAAATTCTGCTCCAGCGGCGGTTGGACCCAATATTGGGTCGCCGTTGGTTTCTTCTTTATTTTGGGTCGAGTCTTTCTTTATTGGGCTTGTCTTGGGCTCATATAGCATCTTCTAGTAGACTTCTCTGTCATTGGACCTCTTTTTCTCATGAAAACTCTCTATTCTTTTTTTATATCTCATTTGATCCTACAGAGTTCTTGAATGCTTGATCCAAACTCCATATTCTCACACCAGAGTTCTTCAATGCTTGATCCAAACTCCATATTTTCACATACCAAGAAGGCATCAAAATGTATAAAAACATAACTTATGTCTATTGAAGGCTCATTGATCAAATATTTGTGATTTAGTTAAGAAATACTAGAGAAAAGACTAAAACTGCTCTGATCGAAGGGGAAAATGTATAAAGTATAGGAGTGAGTGAGTGACAAACACTATAGTCTATAAATAAAGTGTCATCAATAGGCGCGACATCAGCACCAAGGCAACGTTTGATCTTGCATAAGCATGGAGAAAAAGCCCGATCCTACCTCGTACAGGCACGATGTCGGCATGGAGGCAAAGTGTGATCTCTCATCGGCACTGGAAAATCTTGATTTCCCCTCACACAAGCGCGACATCGGCACAAAGGCAAAACTCGATCTCGACTCACACAGGTGCAACATCGACAAGACACATGAGCATATAGAGTTTAAACTCTCAAGTCGTAGGACTCACCTTCTCTAGCACATAGCTAATGCGCAATAATCAACCAACAACTTACGTTTACCCATGCACACAAGCTCATGTCCATCGCACAGTGCAATAGCTTAATGCGGTAGCTCACATATACAACCTATTAGCGCTAAAAGCAATGGGCTAGTGGGGCAAATCATAACGATTTGTGAGGTTTAACTCGAAACATCAAAAGCTAAGCAAAGGGGCAAAGACAATGGTAACATAACTCGCACAAGGGGCGAATCACATTGTCCAAACTCGTAGGTAAGGAAAATTAATACACATTAATATTTTATGTTGTTTCTATCTATTATTACATTATGCAAAAAGTAAATGGCTAATTGTTTGGATATGGTATTATTATGTCTATCACGACAATGTCTACGTCGTTAATGTGCTCCAACCCACTGCAAGGCATCTCACCTCAGGCCCAACTCCACTTTAAGAAAGCCCAAATCTTATGTATAAGGATGCTTATAACTCAAAGTCAAAGGATCCTCTCTTCTCTTCTCCTATTGACCAGACGAGGTCTCTCTCTAAACTCTCTTTTTACTTCCCACACACTATTCCTATGCTGCACTAATTTGGACATTGAAGTGTAGATCAACTGGCCACCCCTTTCTCTCCTCAAATCTTTTCATTTTCAAAGAAATCAAACGAGTGAGTCCGATCAGAGCTCCAATAATTTTTGTTATTGGTTGAGAGTACCAGGAATCAAAATAAATTGTATTGTAATTTGCTTTGCCATTATATATGCACCACTAGGGGTGGAGGTGGGGGGTGAATTTAAAATTTGAGCTAGGTAGGCATAATGAGAAAAAATCCAAAAGTACCACTGTTTAAATTTTATTTTACAAAACTACCACCCATGCACGAAAAATTCCAAAAATACCACCCTTTCTCGAAAACCGTTGGGTGGGGGCGCGGTTTTCGATGAAAACCACACGGTTCGGGGGCAGTTTTACAAACCACGTGGGGCCGAGGCGGTTTTGTTGAAAACCGCACCCCCACCCAACGGTTTTCAGTATATATATATATATATATATACGGTTCAGGCTAGCGTACGACCGGGCGTACGTTAACTACCGTACGCCCGTTTGAGTTTTGCTATTTAGATCATGAATTAAACGGAGTTTTGGGCATGATACTATACCCTAACCACTAATGGATAAACACAGTCCCTAATTTTCTAACTCAAATCATGAGATTCGTTTAATCTTAAAATGAAAATCAACAATAATTTTGACAAATCAGAACCATTGATTTTCATTTCAAGATTAAATGAATATTATGCTTTAGGTTAGTGAATTGCGAACTGGGGTTCACCCATTAGGGGTTAGGGTATAGTATCATGCCCCAAACTCCAGTTAATTCATTGTCTAAATAGCAAAACTCAACGGGTGTACTATAGACTAGGTACGTCCGGACGTACACTAGGCTTTGCCATATATATACGGTTCAGACTAGCGTACGCCCATCGTACATTGTACGCATGTGTTCACACATGTTTATATTTTTAATAAATTGTAATTAAATCTATAAATTAGTAAAAAGGTATAATTACAACTACCCTTATTAATTTAATTTTTGTTACTATTTATTACCAAATTAATTTTTACCGTCATTATACTTAATTCAGTCACATATCTAAGAAACATAAATATTATGGTACCTTAATTTTTAATAATAATGATTTACAACCCACAATTTTCTTATTGCAAACATAATCCAATCGTCATTTGTAAGTCGTAGCATTTCCATCCAAGTTCATTTTCATTTATCATTCAGAATTGAACTTTATATTCATTTTCTTATCCGATAGAGACTTCACAGCTGACAGCTCACACTATCACACCCACAGACCATTAATCTCCTTCGGTCTTGCCTCTTTTCATTTTCCATCTTTGTTCTCCATCTACCTTTCTCCTCCGTCTTCGTCGTTAGAACCTGAGATCAATCTCCCCCAGGAAGAAGGCTCTGCAAGGAAGAGACACCGCGGATGGGGATGAGACACAAGAGGGATCATCTTCTCCGGGTAGTTGTCGGAGAGATAAGCGAGTGCAATCAACTAGGCAAGCGATTGCGATTTGGCCTTCGAGATGGTTGTCGATGAGTCAATACTTGTACAAGAGACAACGCCAATAAAGCTATAGGTTATTTGGCCGCAGAAGTAATTGAAAGGGACGTTGATGAGGGTGAGGGACGGGATTGAGGAAATTAGGTCGGGTATTTATCAACGCCGCTGCACGGGCTTCGCCCTTGTTCCCAGAAACCCAGAATTCAAACATGCATCGGCCTAAATTCTTCTTCCCTGCACAGACAAATTCATTACTCTCCGAGGGTTTTGGCAAAGGCCGGCGGCGATTATGAGAGGATTTCGAGTAGGAGATATGCAGGGGAAGGATCGCGCCGGGAAAGATATCTGTAGGGGAAGAGCGGCGCTCGATGATATCGTCGTCGGGTCCCCGGCACCGCTGGATTCTTGCTACTAGTCGATGACCTTGGATCGAATCCGACGCGGAGTGTCGACTTTGGTGGAAGCGACCTGAATTCAAAACGCGCTCTTGAGCGGAGCTGGAGTTGCCGCGGGAAGCTCTTTCTATCGTTCCCCTAAAATCAACCACCAGTTTCTTTCTCATCTTCTTTTTATTTTCAATCTAATACGAAAGATCCCGACCCTAAACTAAAATAAAAGACAGATCTTGGAACTCGCCGCCATTGATTCTTCCTTGTCATCACCGGCCGGCGTTATTCTTCCTTGCCGGAGTTGAGTCTGACTGCAAGTAGATAGTTGAAGTTCATTCTTCGTTCGTATCACAAAACGACAACACGACAAATGAGTTAGTAATTTCGAAAGAAATCATAGTTGTAGATCATTGTAAAATTTGGGTGTTTCAAAGTTAGAATTTGGAAAAAACAGTACTATAATTTATACGATTGTTAGTTAAATGATTGATTTGAGTAAAATGTATGATACAAATTGATACGTGTCTAAAACGTATATAACAATTAATTAATGCATATAATTATAATTCTATTTAAAAATAATAATAAACTTAATTAAACATAATTATTAATTAATTAACAAATGTGAAAGCTGGTCTTTGCCATATACATATATATATATATATATATATATGGTGGCGTCTTCGGTGCACTCACTTTTTTGGGTGCATTCAGTGCACTCGCTTCATAATAATCATTTTAAACATGAGATTTATGTCAAAATGATGTTAATCATCACTTATGATGTGATGAACAATAACGCACATGAATTTGCACAAATACCACGAAAGATTTGCTTTAATTTGAAGGATTTAGAGTTTAAAGATCTAGGGTTAGGGTTAGGGTTTACAGTTTGGGGTTTAGGGATAGAACTCAAAATTGGAGGTCTAAGGCTTAGGGTAATCCGCTAATTAGTTGTTATCATATGTTATATCATCATATTATACTAATTCTACAAATTAAAATTCAAAATCCGACTCCTTAAGAATAGTTTTTGAGTTGGGTGCATTGAACGCACTCATTTTTGTGAGTGCGCCGAAGTAGTCACCATATATATAGGATACGACTCATATCAAATGTATTAAATATTTATTTAATACGAATTATGATTACAAACTTCACCCTATAAATAATTATCCATGCTATGAAGCTCCCCAACAATGTATATCATTATGTTTTCATGTTTACTCGTATGATACCTTATTTCGTACAACTCTATTCTTCAACACCCCATATATTTATATAATTGATCAAAATTGTCAACGTGAAAGCAGTGAATCGTTTGAGATTTCGATTCTGAAAGATTCAGATAAACCCACGAACATCTTCCGACTCAATGTTCCGGCATCTAGTTTTGAATTATGAGGGTTGGATCACGCGGATGAGTTGGGGCGGCTGACCGTTATCAATGTCTGGGCCGGAGAGGCTACTGATAAATTTTTGCTGCGACTGCGGCAACCGAGATCCTCTGGAGAGGCAGTTCAGCTGGTGAGGATTTACGAGCCTAGGGTGGATTTCATCGGGGGGCGACGGTGGGGGTTAAGAAAACTTTTCGGGAGGTGAATTCGATGTTGTTGCCGTGCCCGAGCTACGACAGATAGGGAATCCTAAACGTTATGATTTACGAGGCTAGGGTGGAATTCGATCCGGGTTGGCGACGGGGTTCAATGTGTTTCACTGGAGAGGAAAGATGATTCTTCCGCCAATTGTTTAGACGCCATGAACTTTGTCCCCCTACAAATTTCATGGCAGTGGATTGTTGATGAATTCGAATGGCGGCGGAGCCAGTGCACAGTCCGTAGCCCCCATGGAAATTTCAGGGCCATGAATTGTTGAGAAGATGAATTCAATCGGTGACGGAGCCAGTGCAGAGGCCATGGCCCCTTTGAGAATTTCATGGCGGTCAGTGTTGAGAAGATGAATTTGATCGGCGACGGAGCCGGTGCAGAGGCTGTGGCCCTTAGGATATTTGGAAAAATGGATAAGAAAACGTATTTTTTACAAATGATAACACATGAAATTGGTCTTCCATGGTGGTGTAATCTCCAACTTACCATTGGTGCTGATGCGGAATGGGATTTCACGCACCGGTGATCTCGAGCGATTTAGCAAAAGAACTAGAAAACACGATAAAAGAGCTACTTTTCTCTACTAACTACTAATACTTTATTGATTGACTTAATAAAAGGAAGAGCAAAGGTACATATTTATAGGACTAATCCTACAAACCCCTTTCCTCTTAAGACAAGGAAACCCAAACCTAAAGCAACAAGTAAACGAATACTTCCTAAACAAGATACGTAATAATAATCCTAGACCCAAACTAATACGAATAACCCGAATAATAATAGAATATCCCAACAAATAATAGTAATAAAACAACAACAATAATAATAATATTAATGGGTTCGGCCCAAGACGCCGTCACCCATCAATCCTCCCCCCTTTTTACAACTTCGTCCCGAAGTTGCCTTCCGCTTTCGCTCCTCCTTCTTCCTCTGCCTTGAAGTCGCCGATCATGAAAAAAACGTTCGCGTTGGCGCAGCGATGCCCATACGTGAATCTCTCGTCGCAGTTATAGCACAATCCGTCGCGACGACGCCTAGCAGCTTCTTCTGGTGACAGGTTGAGGATGATGCGCCGTGGCGGAGGTGGTGGAGCTCGCCCTGTTGTTGGCGCAGTTGGCGGAGCAGGTGGTGGTGCAACTGGAGCAGGTGGCGGTGGCGCCCAAGTCGCGTCGGCGGTGGCAGTCCATGGCGCAGTCCTCGTTGATCCCTTCTCCAAGTGCAACTCCTCCTCGCGTATCTTAGCCAATTGATACGCTTCGCCATTGGTTTGCGGATTAAAAGCTCGGATATAGGCAGATATTTCCGGCTTCAGTCCTCCCATGTAGGACCCCATGATCGCAACCTCGGTCCAACCGCGGCAACGATTCAGCAACTTTTCGAAGGTATGTTGATATTCATCAACGGAACCAGTTTGACGAATCTTGGCCAACGCCTCATGTCCAGACGAATTCTCCGATGACCCATACCTTTTCCATAACTCGGCGCACAGACTGCTCCAATCATCACCCCGTACTTCGCGAATTATTCCTCAAGCCACATGATCCACTGGTTCGCGTCACCATCGATGTGATAAGTAGCCAGCGCCACCTTCTGCTCTTCTGGAATGCACTGGAAACGGAAGAACTTCTCAACACGCGAGACCCACCCAGATGGATCTTCCTTGCTAGTGAACTTCGGAAATTCGAGTGGTGCGATCCTGGTTCGAAACATTGCTTGACCTGGCTCCTCGAATTGACCCATGGGTTGGGTTAACCCAGTCGGTGCGCCCGAATAAGGCTTGCCCGGCCCGTGGACTTGGGGTCGGCCCACAACGGGTCCGCACCAGCTCTACTGACCTGGCCCGAGCGGTGGTCTGGGCTCGGTCCAACTTGCCCTTGCAGCCCATGGCCCACTCGGCGGCCACTGATGGCTCGGCCCATTCCCTGGAAGACCCGGTCCGTAAGTGCTCGACCCCGCTGGTCCATAGGGCCCGTTTGCGTCCCTGGCCCACTGCTCTGCTCCGGCCCGCCCGCGATCACGCCTGGCCCAGACGGCCTGTCTCCAGCTCGGCCTCCCTCGATTGCTCCTGGGCCAACCTCGTAGAGTAAGGCCCCAGTCAGGCCACCCATGTTGGGCCCTAGCCCACGAAGTACTCCTCCATGGTTGGTGGGCTCCGGAGTCGGCCTCATCGGTGGCCTTCCTTCTTGGGCGACGACCTGCTCCTCCTCGCCATCGACGGCGAGATTTCCCTAGCCAACTCCGAAGGGAATCCTACGACCGATCCCTCCAATGCGCCCCACGCTCTCGACCGGTGCTCCGTTCGTCACTCCCGGCTTCGTTCCCGGTGTCGGTGTCGGGCTCCTGCTCGTGGAAGAGTGAGACCCCTCGCCCACAGCGACTGCCTTTAGCTTCTCTGCCGCCGTGATCTGGTCGACGGTGCGACCTCTTCCCCCAGCGACGAGGTCGAGCTCCTTCGACGGCTCGGCCTCCTTCTTCTCCCAAGGTGGATCGCGACAACGTCGTTCGCCAACAGCCCTTGCTCAACGCGGACAACGTTGATGTCCTCCGACAACCGATCCTGTCCATCCTGAAGTTTCTCCTGACCACGCTGCAATTGCCCGACGTCGATGCGGAGATGCTCCAGGGCTGCCTCGTGATCGCGGTTGATAGCATCGTGAGCTTCCATCCTAGCCACGATCGCCTGTTGATGACCGGCGAGAACTTGAAATTGAAGCGCTAGCTCCTCGTCGCCGACGGCGGTTGGTGATGATGGTGCCGTTGGCTGCTTGCGCGATGGTATGGTCTTCTGGCTTGGTTCACTCGGAACCAGGCTCTGATACCAATTGATGCGGAATGGGATTTCACGCACCGGTGATCTCGAGCGATTTAGCGAAAGAACTAGAAAATACTATAAAAGAGCTACTTTTTTCTACTAACTACTAATACTTTATTGATCGACTTAATAAAAGGAAGAGCAAAGGTACATATTTATAGGACTAATCCTACAAACCCCTTTCCTCTTAAGACAAGGAAACCCAAACCTAAAGCAACAAGTAAACGAATACTTCCTAAACAAGATACGTAATAATAATCTTAGACCCAAACTAATACGAATAACCCGAATAATAACATAATATCCCAACAAATAATAGTAATAAAACAATAATAATAATAATATTAATGGAGTCGGCCCAATAAGCTGTCACCCATCAGGTGCATACCCTTTTGATGGATGGTTTCGCATTATATATCCAGATGGAGGATGCCATTAGAAGAGAGTGGATTGAGTTGAATCCTTGCTATTCTTTCGAAGTTGCATGAGCTCATATTATTAAGCTTGGTTTGAGTAGCCTCACTCGTGTCTTGTTAGTTTGGAGAATGATTTTTCGTTTATGATTTTAGTTGATGAAGAGATGAAACGAAGTTGTAGAAATCATTATCAACAATATAAAGTTTGGGTGATTAAAAGAAATAAACTATTTTAGCTTAAAACGTAAAAAAGTGTCGGCGGGCTATAATGCATGTATATAATTTTAATGGGTGAAGTTTGTAATTATGATTGTTAATTAATAATTAATTTTTTATTTGAATTAATAATGTACGTTAGATTAGATCAATGGTGTAGAAAATCTGGAGCATAGTATGCGTCAGGAGCATACGAGTGTGACCCATATGTGAAAAAAGTAGCAGTGGTGGTTCGAACCCAAATTCATTAAATAGTTAACTAAATTCAACAAAATATTTGGACCACCACACTACAACTCCTCTTTTGAAACAATTATATATTGACAAACTTTTAATCCTTGAACGCTAAAAATCCTCAATAACTTTGGACGGCCATAACTTTGTGCTTCAAAATCCGAATGTCATAATTTTTTTTTGATTTCGCATAACTTTTCATTTAATACAACTTTTATCATAACCATAATTTCGAAATGTACATGGATTTGTGAAAAGTAAAGGTAAAGTTATTCCCAAGATCCCGTATATCCAAAACTAATTCCTGTTTTGAAAATTTCATCCTAGTAAAACGTGTAGATCTTAAAAAGTTATGCTGAATTAAAAAAAAAAGTTTGTAACGTTCGGATTTTGGAGCACAAAGTTATGACCCTCCAAAGTTTGACGAAATCGGAAAAAAGTTTGTTTGGGGTACCAAACGGCGTTTTTTCGGGACGGAGGGGGAAGTTATGTGGATTAAAAAAAAACTCTACAATCGGATACCCGAGTGCAAAGTTACGTTCGTTTGAAGTTCCGGGCGAAGTTAGGAGTTGATCGGAAAAAGAAAAAAAAATTGACCAAAACCGCTAGATGGGGTGGCGGTTTTCGAAAAAGGGTGGTAATTTTAAAATTTTTTGTGATTGAACAGTATTTTTGTAATTTTTTTTAAACATTGCTATTTCTGGAAAATTTCCGGCATGATGGCATACAATTTGCAATTTAGTTTAGTGGTAATGTCATCAATTCACTCAATGATCTCAGGCGGGTTCGAAGCTTGCCTTCACCACTTTTTCAACTTTGCATTTTCCCCTAAATTCTGTAACACCCATCACCTTTTCTCCATTTGAAACCATTGCCTTCACCACTTTTTCAACTTTGCATTTTCCCTTAGATTTTGTAACATCCATCACCTTTTCTCCATTTGAAACCATTAAAATCCATGCGATTTATCCAAATCGTCAAACTCTTGGTTCATCAAGCTCGAACTTGCTTCTTCCCATGGCCTTCACCCATTAGCTATTGATATGGGAAAAATGTTGATGGGTGTTGACCTTCATGTGTCTCTTCTAAGTCAGTATCATGTTGTCAAATTAATATTACTAACAAAATTGCTAACTGAAAGTTAACATTTGGCTAATTCTTAGTATTTCGATAGGTTTGAATAATAAAAAATAATTCGAAAAAATTTTGGCTAATAAATAGTCATTACCCTTTATTATTTGTGTCATTATATATCTTATTTTGTTTGATTCATACTCAGTATGAAAACAACATAATTTAACTAGCATATTCATAGTAAACTCTTAATTCCTTTCATGAAATTTCTTAAATTTATGCATTACTTTAACTTATTTTACTGAAGTAAAGAATACTCATAACTATTCAATTTTGACCCTATTTTGTCCTCCGGCACCAAAATATCCTGACTTCGTCCTCGTGCACCACCGAATTAGACCAGTGATCTATATTATATCTCTATGTAACTTAACAACCCTTCAAATTTCTGCAACGAAGCGCAAGCAACCATGGATTCTACGCTGGTCGTATCTATGCAAAAAATAACTTACTATTTAAATAATCAGGAGGACACGAGTTCTATCTAATATGTATACGGAAACGTGCATGAGCACTACTTTGCCACTCTTATCGCCTGCAGGTATTTTGGAGGATACATGTGATGAAAATATGTAAAATCCCAGCTGACAGCGCTGTTCTTGAGCTGTTAGATCCGACGACTTTGTTTCCAGAGATACGATTCGAACCATACCCTTCCTTCTCTTTTCCTTATATAAACCCCTTAAGCACTCCACCAAGTATATCGATCATCTTCTTCCTTTCTACTTCCAATGGCGACTCTGCAAGTTCTGTTTGCTTGCATCTTAGCACTGCTGATTTGTTCAGCCGCCGCAGCAGAGAGCTATAATAAGAAGAATCAAGTGCCAGCAGTGTTCGTGTTCGGAGACTCGTTGGTTGATACAGGGAACAACAACTACGTCCACACCATCGCCAAGGGAAACTTCCCACCTTACGGCCGAGACTTCGCCGGCGGAAAAGCCACCGGCAGGTTCAGCAATGCCAAAGGAGTCGCCGACTACATTGGTACGTGTACCCAACTTCTCCATCTGTTATTCCAGATGTATGAATGAAAAAGCCTCTGTATTTCTCAATTTCTGCTATCCCAACTTTTTTTCAGCTCAAGTCTTGGGAGTGAAACAACTTTTGCCACCATATTTGGATCCAAGCTTGGACCTCCAAGAACTGCTTACTGGCGTGTGTTTTGCTTCTGCTGGTTCCGGTTACGACCCTCGAACACCCCAAAAAATGGTGAGTCGTTGCTCCATCGGTACTCCTCCGCCATTGCTTGGTGTGGCTTATGCATCATATTAATTGATCTACTACATCATTTTAATCTTGGTATTTTCTTTCATTTTTTTTTTTCTGGCTTTCTTGACGTGAAGAACGCAATACCGATGACGACTCAACTAAACATGTTCAAAGAGTACATAAAGAGGATCAATGCAAGCGTTGGGCCAGAAAGAACACAAGAAATCATTTCCCAGAGCGCATACATCATCTTCATGGGCAGCAATGACCTCACCAACACGTACCCAACCGTCGACTACCAGTACACCGAAGAATCCTACACCGATCTTATGATCAGCCTAGCTCTAGACTTCCACAAGGTAAGACCAGAACCAGAACCAGACCAACTCCAATGCTATAATGAAATAGCAAACTGATTGATTTATAATCTATGCGAACGTACAGAAACTATATGAAGCTGGAGCAAGAAGAATTGGGTTGGTGGAGTTACCTCCGACGGGGTGTGCACCAGCGATACGATCCTCGCAGGGTGGACCGAGGAGGGAGTGTTCGGAGAGCCTCAACAGGCGCATCAGGCTGTTCAACTCCAAGCTGTCTCTGATGGTTGATCAGATGAATCAAGAGCTTCCAGGAACCAAAGCTGTGAAGTTCGAGCTCTACAATCATTTCCTTTCCCTCGCCGAGAATCCAGCTCCATACGGGATTGAAGAGGTTAAAAGAGGGTGCTGTGGCACCGGGAACATAGAGAGTGGGGTGCTCTGTGTAGTCCCGGGGACCTGCGCTGCTGCTGACAAGTACCTGTTCTTTGACAGCTTCCATCCGACTGAACTTGCTGCACAAATTCTCACATATCAAACTCTTTCTCCTCCCAATTTAAGCAAGCTCTTCTGATCATCAAATCACTGTTACTGACTTAAATTTTTTCCTGCCGATAAATTTACCTAGATTCAAATTCGTTTGACTTTTACAAAATATTGTTTTTTGTTCATGTCACGTCAATATGAAACGTGGTCACGAAGTGTCAAGTGTATTATGTAGTTACATGAGGTCTAAAATACATGATGATTTTCATACCAAGATGAAACCAGATGAAGATTATATGACCTGAGAAACCATGCATTTTGAAAACGGAATATATAATCGTCGCAGATTAGTAACAATCTTGACATCCTACTGAAATGAATAAATTTCAAGAGGAAGAATTATTATCATGGTGGTGTTCCAGCTGCACTTTTCGACAGCACCTCTTGCTCAATTTCGTCAGCGAAGCTTAGCAGCTGGTGTCGAATTTGTGAATCTAAGGAATTTGCTGCTTCCTGTGGATTTCAGATCAGAAAGCAGGAACAGTAAATGAGATGGAACTGGGTTCATCACTTCATTCTTCAAGTACTATTCTCAGCTTCACTAAGGCTAGAACAATCATTCCTTTCCTTGGGCAGTTTATATGGCAAAGAAGTTAAATTGATTACCTGAATCTTGCAGAGAATGCTCGAGGAGATTTTCTTGCGCTGGTTTGAGCTCTGGAGGGAAGTCAATTTCAGAGGCAAACTTGTCAAAGGCCATCCTGAGGGAACTTTTATAAAAGCATCAACTCCTCCCACCAAATGGGCTTTGATAGTTTCGTCTCTGTCCAAGTATTCAAAGGAATGCCTGCAAGTGTTCGCTAAGATTAGGTACCTCTTAATTGTGGAAGCTAAAGCAGTGATCTGTCCAAGTACTAATAAACTTCATTTTCTTAAACATAGCAGTACCTTGATTTGCTAGCACTTGTAGCCACCAATCTTCTTAAATTGCAGTCTCTTATTCTGTCTAGTAGCTTCATTATAAACCATTGCAGTAAGGAACTTGTCCCCGGGAGGGAACCATGTGTGAAAGAATGGCTGCAACCAGAAGATTCAACAAAAAAATTCGGCAATACCAAGAAGATTGAAAATAATTGACCTTTCATGAGTATACATAACTAAGGTATCTTCAGTCGCCTTTTGCAACAGGAAAAAGATGGAGTAGAGATGATGCTATTCCAGATTGACTAGTGTGATAAGAGCATTCTATGCAAATACTTTCAACTCCAAAAGGGAGTGCATGTAGGTTGGGGAGATGGGAGGGAAGGAACAGAAACATCTAAATCTCAAACTTTTAGGAGAAGGATGCCTGGAGGAAAAGATGAATACCTGGATGAATTGGCATCACCTATGATATCACCAATGAATAAATCATTCGGAAAAATCTGGACAAATTAGCAAGTGAATCAAGAAATGAAATACCTCATTTTATATATTCAAAAACTTTCATGTTGCAGAAATTAAAAAACAAAAACAGAGAATCTTTTTCTGCTGTGCACTTCATTCAAGAAAAAGCACTTGTGCACTTCAATTGCCATGGCAATGTAGCATTTATGGTCACATAAACCATTTGCATTCAGCCTCAACATGGAACATCATCATCAACTTCTTGGTTGATATGACATCACTTACAATTATTTAGTCCTTTCTCACAAGCAATACCCAGGTTTTAAAATCAGATATCATGAAGACATTTAAGGATTGGTTATTACATAACACATATTTATGGGTTCACATGCACAACAAAAGCTCCTTGTTTACTTTCACTGCACTTGTCAGAATATACTGGGCCTTCATATTACCCAATTAAAGGTGGTGCTCTGAAGGTGACAACATGATCAAATTCTTATCTTCACTGAGATTAGTTCCATAGGTAAGATTAATTAAACCATAACCCTAAAGGTTCGGGCAGGTAGTCAAATAAGTTGCATATGCAAGTTTCAAAGAAGATATGCAATCCTTTTCACATCTTAATCGATCCCGCCTGACTAGTATACAAATTCAGCACACTAATATTTCACAATAAGGTGCTAAGGATACTGCTAGAACATTATGGTGTTGGATTATTCCTTTGTATAAATGGCTGCAAACTGCTGGCTTGTGTACCATCTTTTAATTCATAAAAGAATGAATTCATACCTCAACATTCTTAAGTTCCATTGTCTCACTGGAAGCTTCTATGAGAACTTTGTGAACTACTTCAGACAACTCGCTGATATCGTCAATTCTTTGTTTGCACAAGACATCTTCCAATTTCAGGAAATCAGTCCTCACTGACAAATTAATGCAGTTTCCATCAATTTCAATGACTTCCAGAACTGAGAATGTGTTTTCAATTTGTTCAAATGCATCAAACCTGGTGGCAATGTTCAAAAGAAAAAGAATGCTTCTCAGTAAAAGAATAGAAGAGCAAACAACAAGCCTAAAACAAATTGCTAACCTCTTGACTGAAGAGTCGAGATCTTGCAAAGACTTTAACATTGCCGTGCTTTCCACAATCTGACTCTCAAGCTTCATAATCTGAACGACAGTTTCACATATCATACACAATTGTAGACATTGAAACAGTATTAATAAACCACAGCAAGGATACCTCAAACTTCTCATCATGATCTGTCTGTAATGAATTGGATTGATAATCCTCATGCAGTGAGTAAGCAGGCCGTGCACCATCATATGCCTGAGGTAAATCCTACCAAATAATAAACACAAATGAGACCAATGAAGCAAAAGGGTAGGTGATCCCTCAGCATCCATCTAACAATCATCTAAACAACAAAAAGGTAAACCCGAATACCCAACCCTTGGAAACATAATTCAAGCTTAGGAGTAGACTGGTGCAAGTAAATTCTTTCATCTCCAGCTCTCAAAGTGCAATAAGTAAATTCAATCAAGACCAATAATGCTATCATTTCGAGAATATTATACGAACAAAGCATTACAAGCAAACCTCTGAAGAAATACGGTCCAATGAACACTTCAACTCCTCAAGATCCCTTTCTAGTTGACTGGAATCTGAAAGAGAAGATCAAGAAGAAGAAGAAGCATTATAGAACAGATCAATTTTCGTTAAAAATTTCTTATTAATACAAGTGTTTCAAAGCATGGATCTTTAGTGTCAGTCAACCTTGGAGATTAGTCCTATTGATAGCTTCAATTTCGCTAGTGATCTTAGCACTCTCAGCCTCCGCCGCGGTGAGCTCCTCCCTCAAGTGCTCTAAGTATGCATCTACACCAGTGAGTCAATTCTCGCCGATAAGTTAAAACAGCACTAGTTAACCCGGGCTTCTCTGAAGCTTTTATTCACACACAGACACACCACCACAAAATCACCATTTCCATTGGAGTGAAACCTTACCTAAATCTGAAATCCCTAAGAAACTGTCGTCGGAGAGACCCGACAAAACCTGGTCGACTCTGCTCTGAAACTGAAGAACACAGATGTAGAAAATGGAAGACCGAAATTTGAGCATAGTTGTAACACCCAATGAATAGAGAATTTTATACCTCCGGCTGAAGAGCGCTGTCAATCATCAACTTGTCTGAATCCGAAGACACCATGTCCTCGTCATTGAAGCTCCGGTAAACTTCTTCAAGCTCACTAATTCGACTGCAGGGAGTGAAGGAGAAAAGGGGAAAACAAGTCAAAAGACGGCGACTGGTAAGCATATAGGAAGCTAGGTAGAGTTAGAAGCTTCAATGACTTGGACAGACCTCCGAATTGCTTTGAGATCGAGAGGCTCCGATAGAGCGTCCTGCATTTCTCAGTGCTTTCTGCTGTTCTATAGTTCTAGTGTTACCCAACCCAAGAGACTTCCTTCCTTCTTTTTTTTTTACTTACCAAAAAAAGGCAAGTCGCCGGCTGGAAACCGAGCGGAGACTAGAGAGCATTATTTGAATGGAGACTGAATAGCATTTTTTTTTATCAAAACCTGCACTCAGCTTTTATTGATGAGGGGTGGTAAACGGTTTACCGTTTTACCGAACCGGTAACCGGCGGTAAATAGTAAACCGTTTACCAGCGGTATCGGCAGCCAAGCGGGAAGTTGGGGGAGTCGGTGTACCGGACACGGTATCGGTAAATACCGACGGTAAATCGGTATTACCGATACCGAATCCCCCTCCCTACTCCCTAGTGCTGCGCTGCGTTTTGTTGCTTTACCCCCAAAAATATAAAATATTACATACATGAATATAAGTATAGGCATAAAAAATATGGTAAATAAGAGTTAATAATAAATGATTAATTACAAAAATGATGAAAAAACTCAAAAAAATCAAAATATTACAACATCGCCTCACTTCCAGAAATTCGGTTCGGTAAACCGACTGAAAAACCACCCGAAATCGCTTCTCACGGTATTTCGGTAATACCGGTTTGTAACCGTTTACCGGTATCGGTAAACCGGTTACAAACCGGTATCGGTAATCGGTAACCAGTTTGGCCAACTTCGGCATACCGAAACCGGTAAATTCGATAAACGGTAAATTGTTTACCGACCGAATCCCACCCCTATTGATGAACACAAGAGGATACATCGTCAATGTTAAGCTAATCAAACAGATTTAACAGTGCCCTATCAAACCAAACTTCCGCTTCATCCCATCTAGTTTTCGTGTACGCCATAGTATGTGCCGCCTTATTTGCTCTCCTACTCACATGCCTTATTTGTCCCCCACTAGTCTCATCCAGGAGTCGCCGCATATGTCTACACACCACTCCAAGCTCAATCTGAATTTCCGATGCCGATTTCACATGATTAACCACGATAAGGCAGTCCGACTGTGAGAACCACGGATCTAGGCGTGCGATTTAGGGATTGAACGAATTAGGGATTGAGAATTTAGATGAGAAAGAATTGGGAATTGGATGAGAGAGAAGGCAGAGTCGGGTTCCCGGAGTGGGAAGCAGCCGACGGTGAGGTGAGAGGAAGAGGGTTCGGCCAAGGCTAGGTGTGAGAGAGAGAGAGAGAGAGAGTTTGGGAATAATTCTATGTTATTGCTTGCCCTTGACCTAACATAACATGACTTATATATAAACCGACTATTTCCTGTCTACTACCCGAATAATTAACCTAAGCGAATAAACCCTCATAATTCCTATCCTAACATAATATCCGAACAATACGCAAATAACAAATAGACCCCAATAATTATGTTTCTCACAATCCATCCCCCTTGAAACCCACCTTGCCCTCAAGGTGGACCATCTTTCTTGTCGTCCTCCTTCATTTCTCCTCCCTCCGCTCCTAGCTCCAGGTCCTCTCCTTCATCTTCCCAGTTTCCGGCAACAGCATTAAGTGCCCCTTGGCGCACTGATGTCCCACGGTATACCTCTCATCACAATTGAAACAACACCCGTCCCTGTGCTTCTGATCCATCTCGGCCTGAGTCAGCCTCACGAAACTGCGCGGCGGCGCCCTGACTGGAAGTCGGGTACCGGCTGCAGCCCCTGCTACTGGAGGGCTCGACGCCGCAACCGACGGGGTCCCCATCCCAACACCCGCGCCGCTATTTGCGCCGCCACTGGCCTTCTGCATCCTGCCCACTGACGATCTCCAACTGGCTTACTCTTCCTCCTTCCTACCTGCAAGTCTAAAAGCCACACGAAGGGAGTCAGGTTCAAAGACTTTAACTGCAGTGGCCAGCTCTGGTCGCAGCCCGGCCATGCACAGCCCCACCAGTGTCTCCTCAGTCATCTCCTTGCACTGATTGCCCAGTTTCAGGAACTCGGCCCGGTACTCGGCCACGGACCCTATCTGCTTCAGCTTGGCTAGCTGCTCCGGTGCCCATCCCTCCGCTCTGCTGAACTGGTACCGGAGCTCCTCCTGAAACCGCGTCCAGGAGATGCTCGCGCCTACTGCCGCATATGCTCGCTCAGTCCATTCCCACCACTGAAGGGCATCCCCTTCCAAATAGAAGGACGCCAGATGTGCCTTCCTTTCTGCCCTGATCGGATGGTTCTTAAACCACCGCCACGCCACATATGGCCACAACCCAACATCACCTGTACCACCAAATTTCGGGAATTCAATAACTGGAGGTTTAGCCCTGAACACAATTCATCATCATAGTCATACAGGGGGTTGCTGTATCCATACCTGCAGCCATCTGACGGTTGCATCGGGCGACCCGACCCATAGTGCCGGTACTCAGAGTCCGCATTCCGTCTCCCCGAGTAGGCCCAGTCGGTTCGGCCCATCTCAGTCCGACCAATTCCGGTTCGACCATAGCTGGTCCGACCGGCCATTGACCCGATCGACCGGCTTGGTCCACCCTTTGGTCAGCCATCCAATCCTGGTCGGGCCCATAAGGCCCACGGTCCATCTCCCACTCTTCTTGGTCCGCAAAACTCAGCTCTTCATCGTCCGGGCCCAATTCTTCGAACTCGACCACCTTCTTCTTTCCGCGGGCCTCCGCAATCTTCTGGGCCGTTGGAGCAGGCAGCAGGCCTGGCCCACTGAAGACTGGCGTGGCCCGGTCTCCTCCGCCCGTTCCCCCGGCTGCCCTCGACCCAAAGGCCCGGCCTTCCCTGCACCCTGCCGGCCCTGGCGGGGTGGTGACCGCCGCCCCGGCCCCACCACCCGCTGCACTCCCCTGCACCGTCGTTCCCCTGTCGGCTGCCGCCCTCGGCGGCCTAGCCGAGGCGCCGCTCGAGCCCCCAGCTGCCACCGAGGCCCCGGTCGAGCCTCCCGCAGCACCGCCTGTCGCGCCCCGCGCCTGTCGCGCTTGCTGTCGTGGCGCTCGTCGTGGCCGCTCCCAGCACCGCCTCGACCAACATCTCCACCGCCGCAGGTCGGTTCTCAGGGTTCGGCTCCCGGCGCTGCAGAACGCCGATCAGAACCTCCTTCATCGTGTCCGGGAGAGCTCGGCACAGTTTATCCGTAACTGCCTGGCCCATCTCCTCAATCGAGGTGGTGATCCGACCTCCCTGCGCCTCTAGGGCCCCGGTCGAGTCCCGCGAGGCAGCAACTGCTCTTTCCGTGGACTCCGTTAGGCTTTCCAGCGTCGTGACGATCGTGTCATACTTATTCGTCGTTATGTCCTTCCTGTTCACGATCTCCTTGCCCTGCTTCTGCTGCTGCAACTTGTCCATGTTTGACATCCTCAACTTCTGTAGGATTCAACAATCAACACGCCAGCTAGGCTCTGATACCACTGTGAGAACCATAGATCTAGGCGTGCGATTTAGGGATTGAACGAATTAGGGATTTGGGAATTTAGGTGAGATAGAATTGGGAATTGGATGAGAGAGAAGGCAGAGTCGGGTTCCCGGAGTGGGAAGCAGCCGACGGTGAGGTGAGAGGAAGAGGGTTCGGCCAAGGCTAGGTGAGAGAGAGAGAGTTTGGGAATAATTCTAAGTTATTGCTTGCCCTTGATCTAACATAACATGACTTATATATAAACCGACTATTTCTTGTTTACTACCCGAATAATTAACATAACCGAATAAACCCTCATAATTCCTATCCTAACATAATATCCGAATAATACGCAAATAACAAATAGACCCCAATAATTATGTTTCTCACACCGACTCGAGGACTGGGGTGTCTAACTGATGTTGTCGAGCAAGCTGCACACCGAATTCCATAGCTAGAGCCTCCCCCATCATCGGATCCTGGATGCCTCTCACCTTCTTAGCTGCTGCCATAATGAACTTGCCATTGTGATCTCTAACAAACACTCCCAAACCAACTCCATCATTGTCCACTCCTGCGCCAGTATTTATTTTAATCACTCCCTTCGCTGGACGTCTCCACTGGTGGTTCATCTCAGCTACAGCCTGTGCTTCCTCCCCCTTGGTACGTTTGGTATTCTTCCAAGTGGGCAATTGATCTTGGGACAATATCTGCCTCCTCCATCTTCACTCCATTAAAGAGGTGGGCATTCCTTTCTTTAAAAAAAAAAAACAAAGTAGAACAACCCAACTCTCAAGATCTTGCTCTGTAGCATTATCGGCTACTTTTCGGAACCACTCCATGCAATTCAAATCCCCTCTCATCTCGAAACAGTGGGCGGCATTTGAAACTCTCCATAACCTACTCATCCATGCACATTGGCTAAACAAATGTACCTGGTCCTCCTTGAGGTCGCAAAATGGGCAAGCGTCCCCTCGCCTCGGATTTCGTTGGCTCACTCGGTCTCCCGTAGCAAGTGCCCCTCTTGTAAACTTCCACATGAAAACCTTAATTTTTGGGGGTAGATTCAACTACCAAAGTCGGTTCCACAAAGCTGGATCACCTACACTGCGATCTACCTGCTTTTCTTGATGTCGCGCCAACCACATTCTGTAGCCTTCCCTGGCGGAATAACTTCTATCTTTACTATTTGCCCAAATAAGCCTATCAGGTTCCTGTGGATCTCGCAAAGGGATCTGCCGAATGGCCTTCACCATTTCCTCCATAAAGCAACTCTCTAACACTGTATTATCCCATGTCTCCTCCTCTTCGTCCATAAGATCCCGAACGACTGCATCCACCGGGAGCCCCATCGGAGGGGACTGTAAATGGAGACTGAAAAAATCCTATAAATGATTATGCACCCTAAATGATTATCCACCAGCTCAAGTTAGGGTGCATAATCATTTATAGGATTTTTTCTCAGAATAAACACGTTTGAAAAAAATCCTCAACATATACATGTGATTTAAAAAGATATTCTCAATTTATACATGTTTGAGCATTCACTGCGGTCGACCAAAGTGGTGAATGTATCACAGTAGCCAATCAAAGCAGTGAATGTCTGACCTTGGTTGAAA